ACAGGTCATTTAGGCGTTACCAAAAACTATTGAACGCGCGAAAGATAAACATGTTTTTGGCCAGGAATGGCAAAACAAATCACAGATTATGTTTTAAAAATGTCCTATCTTGCTTAAAACATAGAGATTCAAATGCGAAAGAGCCGTTGCTCACGCATGAATTTCCAAGCCGACCCTTTGAAAAAAATAGGGACTGATATTTTCCAGTTTTGATGGAAAGCAATATCTAGTCACAAATCGATTATTACAGTCGATTTTTTGAAATAGATTTTATTACCTGATACAAGGTCAGGCACAGTTATCCCAAAAACTGAGAGTACATATGTCGCGTTATGGTATATGCGATGTATTAATCAGTGACAATGGACCTCAATTTTCCTCGCAAAGAATTTGAAGATTTCACGCGCGAGTGAAATTTGAGCATAAAAACATCTTCTCCATATTTTCCAAGATCAAATGTGTATGGCAGAGAAAGCTGTTTCAATTGCTAAAAGGTTACTTACTAAAGCAAAAGAAAAGTGGTCACAACCCGTTATACAGCTTTTGCTTGAATACAGAAATACCCCCCTCGACTGTGGTTTTACACCAGCGCAGTTACTTATGGGTCGTAGAAACTAAGTCAATTCTCCCCCAATCACTCCCAAACTGTTTACACCTAAAAACCATATCTTCTTCACTCGTCATAAAAAATAATGATAGGTCAAAGATTTACGCAAAAGAAAAATCACGACAAAAACGCGCAAGCCCCTATGCCCCCTTTATGTAAATGACTCCGTGAGAATTCGTTCAGGAAAAATTTGGGAACCGGCCAAATCATCAATAAACATGATGAAAAAGGTCATATTCCGTTTTGTTACGCAAGATGGAACTGTATATCGTCGTAAACAGGCAACATCTTTTTGAAAACAGAGGAAAATTTTCTCACACTTTGACCCTATGCAACTCAATATTTTTTTGCTGATCCTGTAATAAGTAAAGAGCAAACATGTGTAAACAATCAAGATCAGATTTTAACCGCAATACTGAAGCCCATTTATATAACACGGGGTCAGGGAGAGTGGTGAAAAGCAATCAGCGCTATTTTCAAGTAGTCAGTGGGTGAAATAAACATCATAAACATATCATTTTACCTTTCACACCACTTGTTGTACTCTAATCAAAACAAATTATTATTTTGATATGTACAATAAATTTTTATAGATTTCATTCATTTCTTAACATACAATGTTTCATCTATATTTAATTTTCTGAATGAAAAAGTGCTACTTGTTTTACATCTTATTACAATTATGAATTGATTTCTGATAATAAAAGAATATTATTTTTTTTAATACTTAAAGAAGGGAGATGTAGTATGTATACCATACTGTTATCTTGAAATAGACTATATAGCTAGTCTATACATGTAACCTGGCTGGAATTATCCGTCAGTCGTTGACCAGCTACACTTGTAGTAAGATCGCTTGATCATATCTTTATATTACTAGTCTTGTAAATAAACTGTATATATATGTATATCGGACTTTCTTATTATACTTGACTTTATTATATAGTTACAACGATACAACAAAGACCATAAGTTTTGAACAAGTATATTAAAAGTCTGGAAACAAGGTGATCCCTCGGAAGCATTAATCACAACAAAATTACATAAGAATTGCAGATTCGGTTTGATTGAGTCTGCACATGAGGGATAATGAACAAGTGCAACATGTCTCACGCCCCCTAGCACCGGCTTGAACGGTACTCAATTCTCAACACTTAATAGCGCTGGCATCAATGATCCCGGAAGACCAGAAAAATATAACAACACTGAAGTGAAGTACGGGGCAACTTTCTACAGCTGCCTCACGGCACTTGAAACCTGCTGTTGTGAAGTATAAAAATCTGGAAACAAAGTGATCCCTCGGAAGCATTAATCACTACAAAATTACATAAGAATTGCAGACTCGGTTTGATTGAGTCTGTACATGAGGGATAATGAAACAAGTGCAAAAAGTTTTTATTCATACTGAAAATACCTTATTAAAGAATGTACATATGTGCTAAGGATAAGTATTTTCTTGATTTCGGAAAGGAAATCTCGGTGGCCGCTTTAAAATATACTTGCATAGTTCTTGCATAGTTTTTGTTGAAAATGAAATATGTGCTAATACATTTTTCAATGATACCAATAAGAATATTGGGTGGTTTTTTACATTATTAAAAAAATTAATCCCTTGAAGTTGGTCATTGTTTCCAATCGCCGATGTTTCTCAGGAATATATGATAATCAAGATCAACAAGGAAAGGCGGCGCTCAATGAACGCAACCCCACATGACCCAGCAACAAGAACAAGTGGCAAGAAGCCAAGGCTGACCCAAAACAAAACACAGGACAGGGCACTAGGCAGAGCACAGACAGGCTAATCACTAAAATGATAAATAATTTGTAACTGATAAAAACACGATGTTAAAAATAAGTTAATGCATAAGTTATCTTCATCATAAATGGTAAAATCAGCAATTTTCAAGTGATGTTGCTACTGACAAAACTTTTGTAATAAATGTAACATATATATTTTGTGAAAAATGCCGTATGTTGTCCTTCAGTTTTATTTAAAAATATTGGAGAGGCGCCGTTTTATACCTGTCCGCAATAGAAGTTCGTAAATAGTACGAGAGGGGCGGGGCGTTATGCTCGACTTAAAATCGCTTAACTTTGTGAATCTACTTTTGTCATTTTAAACATGTTACTGTGTTAACGTACTCTTGTAGTTCTACAACTGGTAACACGTTTTCTTAAACTCTATTTTCCGTATTCGAGTTTTACGTTTCATTTTTATATTTTATATCTATCAGTGTGCAAACATGCATATGTATTGCATGCAATGGAAGATTTGTAGAACTTGTAAATTTGTTGTCGTTTTAGATGTTAGGTCAGTTGTTACGATATATATGTAAACTTGTTATATAAAGGCGGTAACCTTCAAATAAAAGATTGTATTAAGAGGTTCATTGAACGCCGCCTTTCCTTGTTGATCTTGTTTATCATATTTTACAATAAAAATGGTAGGCATACAAGTTCGCATTTTCAAAAGTCATTTTAAAAAGGAACACTTTACATGTCTGGAATTTTGGCAACGAACGCCCTCCATAATATTCAAGGTGTAAGAAGCCAAGGGTTTTGTTTGCCTTTCTGGTTGACCTATTTATGTGTTCGTCCCATGAGAGATCATTTGTTATATTCACCCAGAGGTTTTTACTCACATAGTTCCAGGAAAAATATAGTAAGTATAGGATGTTTCCTTCTTGTGATGTGGATTAAACAACATTTGGATGGGCTGAACTCTGTGTCCTAATCCAACTCTCACTTGTCTAGGTAAATAAAGTTTTTCAGAAAGGTTTTGAAGGGTTTCCAATTGCTGACCTGATGTTAGAGCTTAGGTTTATAGTAGTATCATCAGCAAATAGATGAACCTTTTGTTTGGACGCCCTGTGGGAGGTCATTTACACATTCAAGGAGGAGGGGTTCCATCACCAACCCCTGGCTGCAGAGGAGGATCCATCTAATACAACAGACTGGAGCCTATCATTCTAAAAAAAGTTTGACCCATTTAAGTGTTTGACCTTTAATGTTTTCGAAAGAAGTTTTCCATGGCTCAGCTTATCAAAAGCTTTACTAAAGTCTACGAGGACATTATGTTTCTTGGTGTTGACTGATACAAAAGAGTCATTGATTAGTATTGTAAGTTGCGTCATACAATTTAATTTTTTTTCACAAAAACCATGTTGGAGATGTTAGAGATTGCTATGTTTTGTGCGCTTCATAAATGCAGAGGCCAAAATGTATTCTTAAGTTTTACAGAGTATGTATGACTTGTGTGAAGTAATACTTATCTAATTTACCTTAACTACCCTAATTTGTCTACTTTGGACAACATGACTATTGATTGTATAATGACTTGTAAAATATTCAAACAAAGAACTATCAAAATGCAAGGGATATATTTTGATTGAAATATCCTTCCAAATTCATGATTCATATGAGATATTTGTACAATATTATTACTTTGAAGTTTCTTTCATCTAAAACCAATCACTGTGCAATGGTCACTGAGCAATTGTTAGTCCTAATATGAAAAAGGCAAAGCCTCAAAGCGAGCTCGATTTTCTTTTACCGTAAGATAGTTTAAAATAATCGTTCATTTTTATTTTACATTTTCCGTTTTAAAATTGTCATTCGGTATTTTATACACTGCTTCCGTTTATTCTGGTTCCCCCTTTCTATTATGGTTCCTATATAAGTGGGCAGGACACCAGTCTACGCTTCCATTTTCAATCACAGTACATCGGCTTTTATCGTTATCTTGTAATTCGAAAAGTAATTCGAAAAGTTGCGATGTGTCCAATTTGGTACTTCGGACGAAAGTTTTCAAAACCATAACTTAGCAGGTACTCGCGTTACCGTAAAGCTTGCTTTGCGAGCAGGCCCATTGGTCCAGCTCGTCGAGCTCGCTATAACACAAGACATTTCCGTTAGCACTACGTACACGGTGTACGTAGTACTAACGGAAACGTCTTATGTTATAGGACTAAGCAATTGTCTGACAATCTAGGCATATTTTGCATACTATCAATCTTATAGCGAGCACAGGGAGCTTTATGGTAACGCGAGGACCTGTGATGGTTTTGAAAACTTTCGTCCGAAGTACCGAATTGACACATCGCAACTTTTCGAATTACAAGATAACGATAAAAGCCGATGTACTCTGATTGAAAACGGAAGCATAGACTGGTGTCCTGCGCACTTATATGGGTCACCACTTACATGGGAACCATAATAGAAAGGAGGAACCAGAATAAACGGAAGCAGTGTATAAAATACCGAATGACAATTTGAAACAGAAAATGTAAAATAAAAATGGACGATTATTTTAAACTATTTTACGGTAAAAGAAAATCGAACTAACTTTGAGGCTTTGCCTTTTTCATATTAATGAGTTAATTTCAAAACATACCTTAGGATATATTTGCAGAGCAGAAATTCTATTGAACACCGTTAGAAAGATAACACCTTTCATATGCAAGTATCAAAATCATATATCATGTAAAATAACTATCAATCAATAGCTGAATTACTGTAGCTGACACAGAGTAAACCAAAACAACACGTTGTGTACACTTGATCCATTTTAAAGTGTTTAATGGAAATCAACATACTGTTTATATTTAGTCGGTCATTTTGTATTGAAACACCGGTTTTTGTACAAAACGTCACATTAAATTGTGTATTCGTCATAAAATACAACACGACCTTGCACGTGATAATTTGTTGTCACTAACTACAACATACGGGCATCGAAATTCCTGGGCAGGAAATAATTGAACAGCCACCATTTTGTTATTATTCATTGGATTCTCATGTGCATTGAAATAAAAATTTACAGTTTGTCGATTTCTTTTAACATTTTCGAAGGGTTGCAGTGGTGTTATTGAAAATATGGTTATTGATTTCCGGGAATATCAACATGTTTTGGCCTAAAACGGCTTTGATTAGTTGAAAACGTTGTATTTTTAGCATTGTTTTTGTTTTGCTTGCATAAGGTCACAAAGAAATGGATTGATATTCGTGACAATTTCTGTGAAAGCGAAGAGGGCTGCTGGTTGCAATGGAGCTGTACATTGAGACTCTCACAGGAGCTGCATTTGAGCTTAGGGTTTCTCCTTTCGAAACGATAATGTCAGTAAAGGCGAAAATTCAAAGATTGGAAGGTAACTTTTCATAAAGAACAAAGGATTTGCTAATTCTTTGTTTAGTTTGTTCTAATAACAGAAAAATAGAACATAATATTTGAATGGGTATTATCATTGATTAACTACACTGTATATTGTCGTTGATGTTGAATTTATAATTATTGCATATGATAAAAAAATGCAAAACAATGGATAACAGCACAGACTCTCATTCTCATTTGTTCAGACCCCTCTCAAACAACCACTCAGTCCTTTATATTTCTAACTCATAGTAACTTTTAACATTGTAACACAAATGGCTACTTGAAGTGTAGGTCAAATCCCCCTTCCGGACAAAAGCCCTCCCTTCATAAAATGACAAGGCGAACAAAAGCCCTGCCATGAAAATGAAAGGGCGGACAAAAGCCCTTCCGTAAAAAATAACAGGGTGGACAAAAGCCCTCCCATAGCAAAAACATATGTGTACATTGAATAGTTTGTATTTTTTGTTTCAATGCACTCAACATAAAAGTTACATATTAAAATTGTAATTATCATTATTATGAATATTTTTGTTTTCCATTGGCATAAGATTAATACTATAGTAATAGATTAACATGTCTACGTCCCGCAAGGGGTTGACATTAACGGAAGAAAGATAGATAGAAGTTACGATTAATAGAGTACTTAATAAATGATGAAAAGAAGTTTAAATTGACTAAAATTAAAAGTCCAAGACATTTATAATGTGTCATGTAATGAGTCAATTACTTTTAAAAGTGACTAACAACATTCGTGTAAAAAGTTACCTCGTTAAATATTTCAGAAAGGTATATTCTAAATGAAAGGTGGTTCTAGCTCATGAAATTACTTAGATCAATTGAAAACATCCACAAATATATATGTTACAATTTTAATATGTTGAGTGCATTGAGTTCATTTTCACGGGAGAGCTTTTGTCTGCCCTGTCATTTTTACTGGAAGGCTTTTGTCCGCATTGTCATTTTTTGTTTGGAGGGCTTTTGTCCGTTTCCCAGCGAATTGTCCTTACGTAACATAGCTTTGTTCATTTGTGTCCACCTTGTAATCGAGAGGTTCATGGTTAAAACACCGGTCAATGTCGGAAGATTTTTCAGGTTTACAACATATGAGTAGAGCTTTACCAGCCTGATTGAAGCTGTATATTACCTAATTTAAATGGAATACAGGGTTTTTTCCAGGATTTGATATGACCCATACCCATGTAATTGGGAATTTCAGCGGTGTTTTGTAAAAATTTGGGGAAAAATAAATGACTTAATTTTTGCATGGATTAAATAAATGCAAAGAATCACTGTCTAGGATGTCATCTTCAAACATTTGAGCACCATAACAGTGAAGAAGCCCTGATTTTCAAAGATTTTAGAGTTAAAAAAGCTAATATTTTCCCGAAAATGCCCCAGGGCCAAAACCCCATTTTTGGGGAAGGGGCCTCAGCCTTTTTCTTGGGGAAAATATGCAGGATTTTGGCATTATTTGGGAAAAGGGGTCTGAAATTTAACACAAACTTTTAACAAGTTCTTCAAAATAGAAAAGCAAAAAGCACTTGGAAATACTAATAAGGCAGTAAAAGACCTTAATTCAACACAATCATTTAATTTTGTTCTAAATTCTATTGGAAATTTCAAAAGACTGAGGAAATTTGAGGACCAACCTAGGGAAAAAAGAGAGGCTAGTTTAGTTGGGGAAGCAGCCTATATTCGGCCTCTACAAAGAAGGGTTTTTTGGCCCTGTGCCCTGTGCACATTCTTTACCAGAACCATGACTTAACAGCAGCTGAATTATATCAGATAGAAGACAGAAAGCTGTCCCTATAGATAGCCTCTGCTATGTACCATGTATGTTAAATTGAAAATGTTATAAAGTGTGTGGGTAAATTCCATTTTCAGTTGTTGGAATTTAATTTCCCCTTTTCTGCTATATTTACTCCTTCAGAAAGCCACAGGTTGTTTTGAAACTTGAAAAAATGTCTGTTTATTAAAATTGTTTAGGTTTATTAAACAAAGTGGTTGATTTTGATGAAACTGTACAACAGTGATCATTAGGAAGTTATTGTCTGTTGGACAAGGAATATCCTGGTAATCTTCATACATGTGAACTTTTTTTGATGATCAAGTGGGAGATTTTTCTTCAAAAAGAAGGAGATTTTAGAATTTTCAATAAACAAAGAAGAAAGTTTTGACATTAAAAAGAGGGAGATTTTTTTAATTTGTGAAAATACCCATTATTTTAAGAAAAATCTTTGAAAATATGGCCGAAGAAAGTGGGAGTCTCCCGCATAAAGTGGGAGAGTTCACATGTATGAATCTTGTCCATGTATACCATATCCTACAGTGAACAATTAAGAGTCATCATGTCCTCTTGTTAGGTATTTCAGACTAGACTTATTAGATTACTTTGAAACCTGTCTGTCTGATTATGACATGTAAGACAACTAAATGATATTCATTGGGATTTGTAGGATTCTTATAGACCCTTTCATTTAAGACCATATTCAACCTTGGATGACGTCATTGGGGGATACGATGGACAATGCCGATACGATTAAGTACAATAATAGAGGGATATAAAGATCTTAATTCTTTCTCTTTTAAGATTGGCAGATTGAAATTGCCAAAATTTTGTGTAATTGAAGAAGATATTACATAAAAAGGATGGTGAAATGAATAAATATGTTCACTATATAATATGGTTAACGATTTGTTTTAATAGTAGACCATATTCCTGGGTAATTGATCATGATTACCATTTTCGTTAGATTCTTAATAATGAAAATTTTACCAGGCATAAATCGTACTAACTTGCTAATACCAGAGATATAGATAATGTATCTATGTCTCTGCTAATATACAGTACCCAAAAGATATTTTGAGTTTCAAAAATGTAAGGATTCTGTAGTTTCGAAAAACGGCTGCGTAATAATTAATTGCAAGATACTAGGGTCTATTGGTCCTCCATCAAGGTTATTCATAGCTGAAAAATATATAAAATTTGAAATAGTTTTTGTCAGGACCCAATGAAATAGTTTTTGTCAGGACCCAAAGGTTATTTTCATAAGCCTCTTTTTAACCCATCATATGGCTGAAATATAAAAATTCCTTTATATTTTTTTTTTCTTGATTTGGACAAGTTTGACAGTATGCTTTGATTGTCCTCAAATTTTCTATTTTATCAGCTGTGCATAAGAAAATGTCTAACCACTTGTTCACTTCTAATTGAGAGCATTAAGTTTAGACCAAGGGTTCTAGACAGATATATTTTCTCAGGGCATTATCTTCCTTCACCAAGACCCAAATACTATATATTAGTTCAATTTCCCCCAACAGCTGCCAAAAATAAAAATGTTTCAACAAAGTTTCTTCAACTCCCAAAAGTGCCATATTTTTTACCAATTTAAGCAGGGTCTAGAAAATATTATTAAGAGCTATTTGTCCATTGCAATTTATCAGAATCATATTTATGAAATAAAACCATGAAAACAGGATCTTTAATGTTATAAGAAGAAACAAAGTTCTTGATATTTATACATTGTAGGCAAGACAGTTGTTCAGTCAGTGATGTTTTTGAAAAGATTTGTGCAAACTAATTTAGTGACCTTCATGTTTCTAATGTCATACCGGTTATTCAAATGAGTCATTAATAAATTGTATTTATAAAATCAGAAGTACAATATTAATGTAGAAGAAAAATCGTTAGCTGATAAAACATTCTTTGGTTAAGCTTTAAAAATAAAACATGATATTTTAAAACAGTAAATCACTGTAAATTACTTAACAGGATCAGTAACTAATCTTTATTAAGTAATTTTCATATAATTTATCCTTTCAAAATTTTATGGTAGATATAAATCTAACATATTTACAGAGTAAAAAGAACTGTTTGATCAAAATGAAAGATCTAAGTGTGTGGCAATATTTGTCTATACAGCAAAATACAATGTTCCGTTATATGTTTACTTAAGCATTGACAAAATAGGATTTATACAATGACACTTCATTCAAAACTTGTTTGATAAACCCCCTTCGGTTTTAATCGTTACTCTTGAAAAGCTGTAATTGAAAACAAACCTGTCTGTGAACGAAAATGGTGAGATATACTACATTTGGCGTTTTGCAAGGAAAATGGTATATAAAATTAAGAATAGGTCTGTAACTTATTTATGTAAATTTGAGTAACTTTTATAATTGTTTTAAGAAGGAAGTGGTTTTGAAACTTTTCTATAAAATGGTTTGAGGTCCGAGACATTTTATACAAGGGATAATTTAGCTTCTTTTTTTTTGTCAATGGGGAAATTAAAAAAAAATGCTTGATTTGAGGGGGAAATAATGGAAGTGGTCTATCAAGAAGCTTACAAATGTAAACATTTTTTAAAATTTGAAAATGATATTAGTATTGCCTTGTGACTTTGTCAAAGTTTTCTGGCAAAATCAATCTTCAAAACTACTTTCTTAGTACTAGAGGTGTCCATTTTGATTTTGATATCTTTACGATTATGATTGGAAGTCACATTAAAAAAAAACAACATAACACTAGCATAGATTTGAATGATTGAATGTTAGCCCTTTCTGTGTGAATTAGAAAATTACTCGTAAAATGTTAACATGCAGTGAAGGTAATCACTTCACACATGCACAGTATATAAATGATTCTACTTCTTATAATCACGTGAAAGATACAAGTTAAAATACAGTTTAAGAAGATACATTGATTGGAAGTAGCATTTGCTTAGCCTTAAATTAGCATGACAGGGTACAAATTTAATTGTATAGGCTCACAAGACAGGGGCCAGTAACTGTGACGTGTCTTTGTGATCATAATTGAAAGTCTTTCAGGGGACTTTGTAAACTTAGATAATTTCTGATTTAAGTTTTTGGTGCAAGATCTATCTCCAAAACTACTTATAGGGGTTTAAAGGAATGACACATTTCTTTATGATCATAATTGTCTCTCAATTTGCAAGGCTCATAAAGTCACATATTTTAACAAAACTGCTCTTAGTTAATTCCATGTATTTAAATGAAATTTTCCTCTCTGTTATTTTACTCTAATTTTTTTTGTGTTTTTCTGTCAGAAACTGAAAATTGTCAAGCATGCTATCCTGTTGACAACTCTAGTTTTGTCTTATTTGATGGGGGAACCTTGCTATAGAAAAAGCATTAATGACCAGTCTGGTTTTTAGCTCGACTATTCGAAGAATATGAGAGCTATTGTAGTCGCCCCGGCGTCCGCGTCCGCGTCTGCGTTGGTTAAAGTTTTTTGTAAAGTCAAATATCTCAATAATTACTTGAGATATTCAATTGAAACTTACAATACTTATTTATAGTAACAAGGTACATCAGATTGACAAGTTGGATAACTCTGCCTACAATATTGACAGAATTATGCCCCTTTTTAACTTAGAAATTTTGGTTAAAGTTTTTTGTAAAGTCAAATATCTCAATAATTACTTGAGATATTCAATTGAAACTTACAATACTTATTTATAGTAACAAGGTACATCAGAATGACAAGTTAGATAACTCTGCCTACAATATTGACAGAATTATGCCCCTTTTTAACTTAGAAATTTTTGGTTAAAGTTTTTTGTAAAGTCAAATATCTCAATTATTGCTTGAGATATTCAATTGAAACTTACAATACTTATTTATAGTAACAAGGTACATCAGATTGACAAGTTGGATAACTCTGCCTACAATATTGACAGAATTATGCCCCTTTGGAACTTATAAATTTTGGTTAAAGTTTTTTTAAGTCAAATATCTCAATTATTGCATGAGATATTCAATTGAAATTTAAAATACTCTTATAAAGTAACAATGTACATCAGTTTGCAAAATTGCATAACTCTGCATGCAAAATTTGAAGAATTATTTGCCCCTTTGGAAACTTAGAAATTTTGGTTAAAGGTTAAAGGTCTTCAAAGATATTTACTTGAAACTTTACACATGTACTTAGGGTCATAACTGGAGGGTCATAATTGTATGTCACTGACCAAGTTCCATGACTCTATCTTGCGTTAAGGCTGATTCATATCCCCTTTTCTACTTAGTCTCTTGGTTAATGTTTACATGCAAGTTTTACATATCTCAATAACTATTAAAGATATTTATTTAAAACTTCACATATGCATTTAGGGTCATAATTGTAGGTCACTGACAAAGATCCATAATTCTATCTTGCTTTTAGGCTGATTTTTCTCCCCTTTTTCAACTTAGAAATTCATGGTAAAGTTTTGCTTGTAAGCTGTTATCTCAATTACTACTGAAGGGTTTGTGCCTTTTTTTTGGACAATTTTATGCATTCATAAAAATAAAGCAGTGATTTACTTGATAAAACATCTTAATTAGAAGCCTTTGTACCTTTTCTGTCAAATTTATGTATTCATAGGTAATTAGTATTATTATACTCAATAAAACAACCTTGTGACATTACCTTCCGAATAGTCAAGCCATTACTGTATAATTAGACTCTCTCTAAGGCCTATAACATGAATTTATTAAAAAAAAATTAGACCTTTTGTGATCTTAAAAAATTTAACATTATCAAGGCTCTTTTACTATCAAGCACTTAGAATAGTCGAGCGTGCTGTCCTACCGACAGCTCTTGTTATATAACAGATTTCAGAATTTATTTCAGAATTTTGATGCACCTATTTAATTTGGTTATAAAGATGTAACTTTAGCACAAGTGATATATTAAATTGTTAAATGTAACGCTAACCTGACAAAATCAATATGTTATATTAGTGCAAAACTGTTAAAGGTCAAGATTTTATTGTAAGATTTAGAGTTTACAAACCATGAAGCTTTTGTTTTCTGTCAAAATTATGATATTCAGGGATATCATGTTTACCTGAAGTGTTATAAACAATTTGGCATTTAAATAATGCTGTGTGCGTAAAGTAAATCTCTGTTGAAATATGATTTTCAGATATGACATTTACACAAAAGATATAAATTGTCATGTTGCTTTAAAGAGTATGTAGTTTTGCAAGTGCTGAAATCTTATTTTCTTGCCTAAATTAAACAAGAATTTTATTAATTTCAGAATCTGGAATGAAAAAATGCACCTTTCAATCATTTAGCCTATCTCTTACAGGGCTTCCATTAAGTTTCGAAATTTGGAAATCAGAGACAGCAAAATCTGCGACATTGGAAGTCACTTTATAAGAAGGTTAAGAAGGAAAAGCACTAAATTTTGAAAGTCACAAGCCAAAATCAAGGAGTAAATGACTCCAAAACTTACATTAATGGAAGCCCATTTCTTAGTTGAATATATCTCACAGATAAATGGTATAATATTGACCAAGTTTCTCCTTCATCTGGATAGCATGTTTATGTTGTTTATTGGTTTTAAATATCCACTATAAAGTATGTGGTGATTGTTTATTTTAGGAATCCCTATAGCTCAGCAGCACCTGATTTGGAAGTCGGTAGAACTGGAGGATGATTATTGTCTCCATGACTACAGTATACATGACGGTGCCACTCTAAAACTGGTCCTTGCTATGCGTGGTGGACCCATCAACACACGTAGAAGTAAGTACAAAATCACATTCAGTATTTGTCAAGTGATACATTTTACTTCATTTCAAGCTGCTTTTTGATAAATATTGGTAACATTTAGGGAAAGGGAATAAAAGATGATCATTTAATCTGTAGCAATGATGGGAACATGTAATTTAATTTTGTAAATCAGTCGAATGTTCACAAATTCCAATTCAAATATTTGTTATAATACCAAAAAAAATGTTTTAGATTCTTGTTCCTTAAACACAGGGTCTTCATTCAAATTATAAGACCCTACATACGCAGGCTAATTGTGCAAAATTAAACTGTTACCGCAGGAGTTTATTTAACTTTCATCAGGCCCCTGTCCACAAAGCCTTAAACTTTCACAATTGTTTTATGAAAGTTCACAATTGCCAAATTGACAAGTTGGCATTAAACAGTGACACTTTATTTTAATATGATATTATCATGAATCAAAGCAATTTCAAACACATGATTTTAACTTTCTACCTCATTAAATAGCTAAATTTTAACAGTATTCACAAATAATGACATAATGTGCTAATTTCCACAATTCAAATGGCCTTAGACCCATTCACAAAAGACTGGGGAAAAACACTAGTTAACTAATGTAACAAAATTATCTCACCATGCTATTTTTTACATAAAAAAGAATTTGCTTTAATAAGCTTCAGCAATTGATATGATAGATAAGAAAGGAAATGATGTAAACATACCAAACAGACATCGTATAAGTAGTAACATTTATATTACATGACATCATTATTTGTTCCCATCCCAAGTTCTTGCAAGACAAACACCAATGAATGAATGTGGCAAATATCATTGACAAGCATTAAGTTTATCTTGAATATTTTCATGAACATTCCTATATTAATTACAAGTACAGTTAGTTAAGAGGTTAAATAAGTGTATTTATTAAAACGATTTCTTGAAATTTATAGTTACCATTTCCTAGAACAAACCACTACTGATGTCATGAGGAAACATGTTGATGAAATTATAACTACTTAGTTTTAACTACCAAGGAGTATGTGGTCACTTTTAACATAGACTTGACAATCTTGAATTAGCTCAGGTTTTACTTAGCACTAATCATGTATATATTTGTTAGGAAATTCCATTTGCATGAACTTATTCTGATCTTGTATATTATTGGAGTTTATTTCTATTTTAGTTCCCATGGAGGATCCAGCTTTACGCGAGATGGCTGAATATGTGGAGGCAAATCGGGATGAGATCTGGGAGAAGTTGCCTGGCAACCGACAGGTTACCTTGCTTGTGTTCCGTGAAGGAGATCAACTCAATTTCTTCAGAGTTGTTGATCGAGGAGATGGAACACTTACACCTCTCTCAGAATCTCTCAGGTTTCAGTGTTTTACATTCATAAAAATTGATTGAGGTGATTAAGTAAACTATGTAAAAGGTACTGAATTGGAATATTACTGTATTCATTTTTAAAATGCTTTCTATCTAAAATGTTGTAAGCCAGCAATTTATTATACGCCCGTTTGAAAAACGGGACGTATTATGGGAACGCCCCTGGCGGGCGGGCGGGCGGCGTCCAATTTTGTCCGGAGCATATCTCCTACATGTATGGAGGGATTTTAATGAAACTTCATAGAAATGTTCACCACTATGAGGAGCAGTGTCGCGCACATGAACCAGGTCTCTAGGTCAAAGGTCAAGGTCACACTTAGAGGTCATTGAAAAATGCTTGTCCGGAGCAAAACTTCCACATGTATAGAGGGATTTCAATATTACTTGGCACAAATGTTCACCATTGTGAGGCGGAGTGTCGCGTGCAAGATTCAGGTCCTTGCGGCCAAAGTCAAGGTCACACATAGAGGTCAAAGTTCAGATAAAAATATGAAGATGTGTATATGGACCATTTAGTCATCATTTATTGAGGGATTGTAACACAAATGGTCATTATCAAGACTATGGCTGTGATACATATAATTTAGGTCAATATATACAAGGTCAAGGTCACTAAAGATGATGAAATATCCAGATTTTGTAAATAGAATTTAATCAAAGGGCAACAACAAAGTTATTACTTTGTTCATAAATGACTTACACAATTACTCCCCTTGATCTACTTTCACTTTCAATTCTAAAAATAGAATTTAATCAAAGGGCATAAAATAATCCTCTTTCTTGGACTTGAGTATGTTCTAAAGAATGTAACATTTATTTACACATGTTTCATTCATTGGTCAAGATTCTTAACTGTGATAACTATGGTGTTCTGTAGACTTGGTATTTGTTCATAAAGATCATACAGTAATTACCTTATCAAATGTAAATACTTTCTCATAGAAATTTAATTATATTTTAATTTTCAAGTAAATATCAGTTCAGCTCATTCAAAGATTAAGAATTGTAATGAAATGTATTTCCCTAGAATAAAATCTTAAATCAGAATTTTTTAGTTATTAAATTACAATTACATGTACTTTTTATCTTCCCTACTGATTTGTTTTAAGGTTCATTTAACAACACAGTGCGGCTGTGCCAAGGATAAAAACTTGCTTGCTAGATAACACTTATCCATAATGCCCCCATCTCCATCTAAAGCTTTCGTAAACGGGCGTATTTTGTGACTATGGCACCCTTGTTAGTACAAATGTAGTTAATTTAGTTCCTTAAGTATTGCTCTGCATTGCAGGTAGCCTGTATTTTATATTTCAAAAATTTGCAATAATTTATTTTTGTATTTTGACAGTTTGTTTCTACTTACAAAATAGGAACATGTATGTCTGTCATTCATTTTAAAAGCTATTGCAGGTATACAACAGTTTAAGCTTGTGTGCACATTTTAGTTGTTAATTGTATAAAAGGTTACAATATATATATATGTTGTTTTATAACAGCGGTGCTTCAATGTACAACTTCAATGACGAGGAAGAAGAGGAAGATGCCCCAACCAAGGAGAAGGTGGAGGAGAATGAACAACTCAAGGAGAAAATGAAACAAATCAGGTCTAAAATGGATAAACTGAATATTAGTAAAAAGGTAAGAATTAATAATTATCTCTGACTCATAAAGGCAACATATATTTAACAGAATTTAGATGAATTCTTTCATGATTTTATTTAGTTTTGGGTTATGTTAATTGAATTTAAGATAAGAAGTTTTTTGTCTAAAGAAAAGACATTTCATATCTACTCAGATAATAGAGAATAGTTTTATTGATACTTTTTAACCTTTGTAGATGAATTAAACTTAAAACTGTAAGTAATACAGAGTTTTTCTTCCTGGAAGACAGCATTGACATGCAGTTGCTACTAATAAACTTGATTCAAAAGATTTCACAGGATAATTTACGAATTTAAAATGGTAACTTTAAACAAATTCTATGAATGGAAGACAGGGATAAAGCATTTTCTTATATATAAACTTAATAACTTATTACATAAAGGATATGAAAACAAAGTTGTACTAAAATTGTATGTTTATTTCAGCCTCATAGAAAACCTCATCCACCAACTTCTGGTCGTGCAGGCAGCCGTTCATCAAGGTTGCGTCATCTCCCTGCCAGTACAAGCTATAGTCTAGGTCCAACCCTCAATCGTAATCTTTGTCTACCACCAGTTGGTCACTCAATTGGTGCAATGAGTCATCACCACCACCATCATCATCACTCATCTCTGTCTCTGCAGCATCAGTTGTTAAAAGAGAGAATTGAGAGATTGGACAGGGAAGAGGAGAAAGAGAGAGCCCATGCAGCATTTGATTCATCACTACAAGCTATTGCTGGTCCTTCTACCAGTAAGCTGTCAGATGATTCAGACGATTCAGATGGGCCTACTCTTGAAGAACTTTCAACTGCCGCTTCACATCAACTTGACAGTTTAGAGAGACTGAGTCAGGTCCTATCAAGAGTTATTGATGGAGGGGCAGCTAATAAGGAAACTGAAAATAAGATTGTTCAAAATCAGGAAACTGCTAAAAGTGAAACACTAGAAAAATCTAATAATCAAGATACTGACAAACAAGTTGAAGCCCCTAAAAAAGATAGTGAGAAAGAAAGCAGTGAAAAGACACTTAATGAATCGCCTAACTGTGATACTGGCATTGAATCTGTTACTCCAGCCAATGTCAAAAGAGAACTACTTCGGCTAAGTAGCCAGGTCGGGGAAAGTTCTGCAAGCTCTCGTCCAGTTACATCATCTAAGGTTAAAGATGTCACTCTGGAAAACTTGCGAGAATCACTTCGTCCACCTAATTCTTCTAAGGGCAAGCCTATAATAAAAACTGAGTATTCATTGTTTGATAGTTTAAGAGATACAATTGGAGCTAGTTCTTCTTTATCTCGACATAGTTCACTAGATAAACGTAAAGAATTTACATTAGAAAGCTTAAGTTCTAGTGAGGCACGTGCTATGTCTGGACTGTTACGCCAGGCTTCACTTGAGAAAGTTGGATCATCTCGTATTGGTAATGTGACCGTTACAAGTGCTAGTAGAAATCGTGTGACAGGGAATTATATGTTAGGCAACTCTACATTCCCAGATGGAAGGATAACAACTCCTGAAGGAAGATTGGTGGTAAGATTTAATATTCATATGGTTTTAAAGTTATGTGTGTTCACTCAAGATATGAAGAACTATTTGTACATTTTATATTAGCTAATATTGTAAAAGCTAATGCAAAAGAGTATAAGAGAGGAGCAAGCTCTAAGCCAAAAATACAGTTTTTTACATATAAGTTCTAAGCAAGAACATACCCATTTGTCTCAGATTTATAAGTAATGTTGTGAGAACATGTACAGAAATTCTATATTTACATTATTGTTATTTGTGTTTTATTTTGTTTGACTTTCAGTCTGCACGTTTACAGAGAATGACTGCTAGTCGAGATGGGCGTATTTTGTCCCCCACCCATCGCCTACCTCCAGTTAAAGCTAAGAAAAAAGGGTCAAAAAGATGTTTTGTTTGTGCTAAAAAAACAGGTCTTGCCTGTAGTTACACATGCAGGTTGGTTATTTGGTTCTTTTTGTAAATACATGTACATGTATGTACATTTGTTGATACTTGATGTTGAGCAAAATCATTATGTTAAAGATTTTGACTAAATATTGTTGTCATTTGAATACAGTTGCAAATGTCCAACTAATGATTCTGAAGATTGAAACTAAAATGTCATTTTTGACAAATTATGTAACTATCAAGGAGCATTTACAATTGATAATACTAGATTTTTATGTCCCCACTACTTGTGGAAAGATTTGCCTTTGTCAGTCCATCCTGCTGTCCGTCTAATATGTCTACTCCAAAACTACAAGCCCAGAGGTTATATTGACAAAATTTACAGCAATCTTGCCCTTGGGATCAAAATTGTCCTTAGTTCAGATGGATTTGTATAGGAAAATACATTAGTTTACATGATTTGAATATAAATAGTACCGTTAGTTAATGTTTACAAATCTTTTATGGCAAAGCTGCAATACACAGAGTATAGATATTTATCATGTAGCATCACCAGATATTTGTCATGTAGTCCCATCCCATCACTTTGTGGTCCACTACAGGAGTCAATCATTGGAATAATGAAACCTCCTAATTTATAAACTTTTACATTAAAGAATGGTGACATTTTCTAGTTGTGGATCTCAGTTGATCATTCTCAGACCATAATGACCACATGTTATCTTTATGATTTTTCAAGAGATGCAAAAGGACTTTAATATCTTGTATTACACGTATAATAATACAATAAACATGGAAGCATAATAAATCTTTTACTCTTTTACATACATTTTAAGGAGTAAAAATACTCCTGTCAAATTTCAGATTTCAAGTTTTACTCATTCACAAAAAAATCAATGAGTAAATACTCATTGCCCTAAAAAATTATCTGGAGCCCTGTAATGATTCTGAAGATTGAAACTAAAATGTCATTTTTGACAAATTATGTAACTATCAAGGAGCATTTACAATTGATAATACTAGATTTTTATGTCCCCACTACTTGTGGAAAGAATTGCCTTTGTCAGTCCATCCTACTGTCCGTCTAATATGTCTACTCCAAAACTACAAGCCCAGAGGTTATATTGACAAAATTTATATCTTGCCCTTGGGATCAAAATTGGCCTTAGTTCAGATGGATTTGTATAGGAAAATACATTAGTTTACATGATTTAAATATAAATAGTACCGTTAGTTAATGTTTACAAATCTTTTATGGCAAAGCTGCAATACACAGAGTATAGATATTTATCATGTAGCATCACCAGATATTTGTCATGTAGTCCCATCCCATCACTTTGTGGTCCACTACAGGAGTCAATCATTGGAATAATGAAACCTCCTAATTATAAACTTTTACATTAAAGAATGGTGACATTTTCTAGTTGTGGATCTCAGTTGATCATTCTCAGACCATAATGACCCCATGTTATCTTTATGATTTTTCAGATGTGGTAATAATTTCTGTGCTAGCCATCGTTATGCAGAGTCTCACGAGTGTACTTTTGACTACAAGACAGAGGGCAGAAAGCTTTTAGAGCAAAATAATCCTGTTGTCAGTGCCCCAAAGCTTCCAAAAATTTGAAATCAGTCTGGTTCTAGCATTGTTTTAATTAGACAGACACAGTCTCTGTTTTGTTCATGTTGTTAGTTGTTGTTGCTATTAAGAATTTATCATGTATTAATACTTAAAGAAAAAGAGTGTTGTTTTCTTAGAACATTAAAATTATGTCACAAAATCAAAAATTGACTTTCAATAAATCATAAAAAGTAACTTTTTGTATTTATTTTTCTTATTTATCTTTTTTTTTGTAATTTGGTATGTTGTTGAAAGAGCTTTCTTATAAACAATTATTTCTACAGAAACTACTTTTATCATGGTGGATTTATTTATTTTATTTTTTTAAAGAATCTTCAAAAGCATAATTATCGGATTTTGTCAGGGATGTGATATTTTATTGAAGGAAAAGATTTACATGTTAGAAATGTTAATGGTGCTACATAATTGGTGAAAATGAAGCGCAGGAAACCTGGAGAATGTACACATACCTTGTTAAAAGTATGATTTAAATTTGCTTACATATACAGAGTATGTAGAACTGTTACAAATTGTTGTTTTAGAAATTGTTAATGTTGTTGTATTATTAACACAAGGGTACCTCTTGTTTTTTATCAGATTAATTATTTTGTCATATTTTTTTTACTTACAGTACGATTTTAACTACATATCCAGAATATACTGGATTATGTAATATGGTAGATAGAACTAATATTTTATTACAAATTTGCACTGGCTTTTATTTTCTCAAACCTTTAAATATTTGCTACAGCTTTGTGTGGGCAGGAACCTTTCATTTATTTTTTTCACTTTTTTTTTTTTTTTTTTTGAAAAAAAAAATATAAAATGTTAAAATTTTAAAATATTTTAAGATATGTTTGGGGTTTTTTTATTGTAAGAATTTATCATACTATTGTCATTTAGTTTACTTACTATTTGTGATAATTAATGTGTAACAGCATTTTAAGTTGTTGATCTCTAGGACTTGTATTATGCTATTCATATTTAGCTACTTGTTTATTTTAGTGTGCGTGATTTATACTGGTTTTTAAAAAAAGCTTTATATAAGAGTATACTTAACATTACCATGAAAACTGAATGTTAATTTGATTCTGATAATATATTACTCTGAGTTTCTAATGTCATTGTATAATTTACACCAGTCTGCTTCTTAAAAAGCATACAACTTTTATGTTCTGTCAATTTAACTGTTCAAAACTAAAAACATGACAAACTATCTGAATTTGTCATTGCATTTAAACAAGAGTATGTTAAAACTGTATAAGACTAATGAGTAATTACTGTCTGGGCTTTTTTTATTGAATTATTTATATTGCTTTAAATATTCCTTTATGAACTTGATTTATAAGATAATGGATATACAGTGAATATTCAGATTGGGTTTTATTTGTAATGGATACATGCTATCAAAAACAAGGTCTATTAAACCTACCTTAATCTGTTTAAATATAAGTCTCTTTGAACGGGTCAATATAGTAAGGATTTTTTTTTTGGGTAGAGTTCTTATCATTCGCAAACCACATTTTTCGTCCAGTACTTTTGGTGAAAATATTTTGTCAAAGAATTGCTAGAATAACTGATAATGTTGACTATTTTCACTGTGAAATGTTTCGTTGTTTCGCAGGCCTTTCTCTACCTATCTCATGGGTCAAACTTTCAAACTTACCCACATGTCATCTATGGATATTGTTTTCCAATAAAAAAAAAAACAACTCAAAATTTAAATTCACACAATGAAACACCTTAGAGAAATGAGTGTTACTTTCCTTAAATACAAAAGAACATGTAAACCATTTAGAATAATTGTTTATGTGTTATGTCAATATATGTATCATTTAATTCAGGCCAGCATAACCAGTGTCTGTCAAGGGAGACATTCCCTTAAAATCTGTGCATCAGTCATTTTAATCCCATCTTGTCTTATTTTATGTCTCGGATATTAATTTCTCCCCCCTTAGATAGGCAGAAAATGGCCTGTTTCGGTTTCACAGGAATAAGAAAGATAGACCTTTTAAGATAAGACTAACAAAAGTATAACACAGGTTTTCCTTAACTTTGTTTATAGGAAAATTAAGATCCACTGGCATATAGTGCTAAAAAGGTCAGAATCTGGATTTGTGGTTAAACTAAGATTCTAGCATATAAAGAAAATTAACATTTCCTATACTTTATTAACATAGATAAAGAGGGACACCTTATATTTTCAAAGCCATTTATAGGTAAGGATGGTACTGAACACACGGGCATATTTACAGTGTACATGTATATTATAATCTAATTTGTTACTTTTTATCACAAATATGCCCTCTCATTCTATAATTTAAACGGCAGTTTGTAATCATGAACTCGCGGTCTTTAAATGCAGTCTAAATACTATTAGCACTATAATTTTGATACCAAGTTCTCTTAAATTGACAGAGGACCTTTTGCAACTAAAAACCAAGCGGGTATAGATGCAGTGTAAATGTTAAGATCTGTAGCGACTTTTCTTCTCCAGTTTATTTTTGGACTTGTGTACCCATCATCTGATCATGTTTAAAAGTTTATTATTCCAGATAGCCTACAATACCACTGTATAATCATTTATCTTTTCTTAAGTAATTTTCAAAATTAATTTATTACTGGTATATTTATATTTTTTGCTTCTTATATTCTTTATATTGTGCAGTTATATTTTTCTTAAGTATACAAATATGTATAAAAATTGAAATTTCATTTATATATTATGAATTGACTTAAGTTTTATTTTAAATTGAATTTACTTTTCTGTTTCTTTTTACAAATTAGATTATTCTGTGTTTGTGTTCTGAGCATACAGCACAAGTTTTTCTTGGTCCTGCAGATGTTTTATCATTATAAAAACAAGCTAATGTTTCAATTACATTTACCTTTGACACAGTTTTATAAACATTTTGCTTTTATATCATTTGACCAATTTCTATTGGCACTCAACATTTTCACAATGACTAGCACTGTGATTTCAGTTTAAGATTGCTTTACTTGTACACTACAATAATCTGAAATGTTGATCATACCTCACGGATGTTAATTTAACAGTCTCAGTCAGGCTGAGATTGACCAATCAAAATTTGTCGCTATAAATAGGTAAAAAACACAACTTGTTGATAGACGCTGATGTTGAACCTGTTACATTACTTACATAGATCCTTATTTCCTGCCTGTTTTATTAGGTAAACTTGATATTGTATTTTATGGCAGATATACAGAATAGGTACAAATGCTGTGATTATTTTAACAGCAGTTATAAAGATATTTAGCACTTGAAATTAACTGTGATACTGTTAATTCTGGGCTCTTTATTAGCTCCACTTCAACAAATTGCCAAATATGACCTTTGTACTCTCACACCAAAGTTGTGCTTTTAAGTATCAAATTATATAGGACTATTAAAAACTATCAAGTAATTTATATTCACCAGAACTTGAAATATTTTGTAAATCAATAATCAGTTAGGTGTTGTTATAAGTGGAGCTGATAGAATGCCCAGTGAATGTTTTCAGGACTGTATGTTTGTATGTTAATAAGGACGAACTGCAGTGATTTATATATCATGCACAAAATTATGCGTGTGAAATTAATTTATAAAAAAAATCAATAAAAATTATATAATGAATGAAAAAATAATTTGTTTTTTCTTTAATATTGCATCTACATAATTAAATTATCCATACGTTTTGCCTGTCTGTATTTGAAAAATATCATGTGTTACAAGTGCAAGTACTACATGTATCATTATTGAAGTATAAAAAATTTCACTATGACAAAATAATATTCACTGAACAAATGTTACAAGTTCACAATGTACATGTACCAATTACTCTCTCTGTTTTATGACTTGAATAGAAAGTCATAGGGAAGTGTACATGTCAGCACAGATGTGACAGGACAAAAGTATTTCTGATGTAAATTTATTATCAATGATATTCATACAAAGACATGATTCAACGTAGCTGCTTGATGAAGCTAGAGTCCTTTATACAGGAATTGTGTTAATAACTCTACCAGCTTTTTTATACAGTCAACTGAGAAGAAGTTTTTGACATCGCCTGGTTTTCAGTCCATTGTAACCCACATAATTCCTTTAAGAATTTAACACACTGCGTAGATTTGGACTTATCTTCATATGCAAGAGTTTGTATTGTCAAGAAATGTTCTTATAAATAGTCCAAATTTGATGCTTCAGGAGAACATATAAAACAATATTTCAAAGGTCAATTTTTTTGCATAATAGTCAGAAAGACAAGTTTGATAATTTATTACATTTTGTACTTCTACTTGTACCAATGGCTTCAAACCTGACATAAGACTCCAAATTCTGTAAAATCCAGTAACCCCTGGTTATATATCTCTTTTCTTTAAATACATTTTGAAATTTTGTTTAACCTTAATCCTTCTTCTCTGATCTCCTCTTCATGTATTTTAAAAATAAGCATGGTTAAGAAGCTAAAACACTAAAAGAATGAATGACTTTCTGTCGTATGCATTTATCACACATCGTGCTGTTGGTGTCAAAGTTGTCCTGCAATACGAATTTCCTATCCACATATGCTACTCCACTTTAGTTAAGCACCAAAATTAATGTTTGTGTGAAATATTTACGGCAATTATTTGTTAACTGTCGTACAATTGTGAAGACGATTGCTTGGCAACCCCTTTTCTCGCTCCATGTGTGTTTTTTGACAGTCGTAGTGGGCATGGCGTCATGTTCTTGCACTAACATGGTCTCAAGATTCGGGGCTTCTAATTTGCACCTGGTGAGTTGACGATATCCGTGTCCTCAACTCATTCCACATGTACTAAATTGGATTAAAGACGGGTTTTGATGCCCGCTGCTCCGGCATACAGCTAACATTTCATTGATATACCACTATTTAGCACAAGGAGGCCAGTCCTTCCATTCCAGCTAATAACTCCCTACACCACAACTGTCCCGCCATTACTTAGCAGTCTTACTAAGCAATATTTCTGGCTTAAAACCTTTCCCAAAGTCTTTACAGACACTTGCACGTCTGTCAGTAAAGCTAGGCAAAACCTAAACTCATCAGAGTCTCCAATTTTATCTAATCCACCTGACATGCTACCTCTCTATACGGGCCTGGCGGCGACGACAAATCAGAGTTATACTCTTTTAACCTTCTACAAAACATCTGGGAACAAACAAAGAATGTTGCTGTTACTCCAATGCCGTCTTGTCATAGCCATGTCAAAGTGACCAAGGTCTGACCTTTGAATGATCATTTGTGTTATCAGTGTATAAGGTAATAATATCTCTGTTGCAACTAAAAAAAAACAATAAAAAAATACAACAAACAAACAAACACAATAAACGAAGGATGCAGGTTTTCCGTGACCACGTTTCGAGGTTTAACCAATAAACATTTTGCATTTATGTTGGTATATATATGTAGGCCAACACAAATAATTGCTTAAATTAAACTTAATATACATGCATCCCTTTTAAAAAAATTCTTACTATAAGGAGAAACTTTCTGGTGCTTAGCAAGAGCTTAAGATTTTAAAAAGATTTTATATGTAAAATCTTCTATTTTTTTATTAATTGATATGTACTCTTGAAAAAAACTTGAAAGATGCCAATAATCGCAAATTCATTTTTAATCGATTTTTATTAGCTGTTTTATATATATATATAAAAAAAGCTTAAAATGCACATCTGAACCTTTTTTGAAAAAAAAAAAACTTGCGCTTGATTGGTACATACAAAGTCAGCTGAAATGCAAATAATAATAAATTAATAATAATTATAATAATTATGTGAATAAAAAAGGCCATGTTGTCTGGCGCAAAACGCGATACTGCCGAAGAGAGTGTCCCGGAGTACGATATGTGGTATTTTCCAGCTCAAATATCCTGATTTTAAAACGAGATGGAGTTAAATAATTATTAACCACTTTCTTATGGATATCATTTTTAAGATTAAGAATTTTTGTTTCAAAATAAGCATATCTACACTATCATTTATTTTTTCCAATCTTTAACTCTGTTCCAAGTTGATTTTTCTCACTTTATACATACGCGTAGCGGTCCATAGTACATAAACAGTTGCAAAAATTACCATAAACCCGCATTTTATAAGTGTACACCAAATCTGCTTTAAAAAGTATTTGTAATTTATTTTATTATTAATCGATACTTGCTGGAAGTATGGGTGTCAAACAATAGATGAAGCACTGTTTACTTAGGAGATGTTGCAAACCTTCCACGACGACCTTGAATAAATTAAAATAAATTTCTTCAACAAAAGTATGTTACCAAAAGGTGAAACATAATTATATCTTAACGTTTCAAGTGAATACATTCAGTAATTTTAAAGTCTGGTGTTACATGCAAAAATTTAACAAGGAATTTTCTTAGTTCACAAAATCTGTAAATTTCCATGGTAGTTATGAGCCTTTGGATAGGAACCTCCAATAACGACCCTGAAGACATGTTTCAGGCTTGAGCATTTTTTAAAACTGATGTTACACAATTAATTTTCTAATTTCACAAAGGGTCATAATTCAGTCTAAATCCACGCCAGATTTATGGGCTACAACTATATGGCCCCAAAGACACATATATTAAGTTTCAAGAGTATACATTATCTAAGACTTTAAAGACTGGTGTTGCACAAAAAACTTTGACTTCATCATTTTAACATAATACAAAAAAAATATCAATTATACATTGGTTTGTGAAATACATAATACGTTCTGTATTTAAACACTTAGCACTTACTAAGTTAGTGAAAGTGAAAAAAAAACATATACAAGTACATGTATCTGTTTCTGAATCATAAAATTCTACATTTTCAGTTTTCCCTAAATAATAAATAGTTGAAAATGAAGAATAACAACACATGGTCAAGTCCATTGCATTATAAGTTAAACAAGAGCCATGTTAACATGGTCATCCCCTGTCGAATGTGTTTGCTCCTTGAAAGAATGTATATGTAGTAGAGCAGAATAATTCAATTTTCAGAGGTCTTTTGTTAGTGAAAACTGATGGCTGAAGTGATTACAGATTTGAAACCTATGTGAATACTGATGGCTGAAAATAACAAAGGGCAATTACTGAAAAATAATGCAGGGTAGGTTATCATTCTTGTGTGCTGCACTCCCACTCCATGAGATCTATCCACCTATAAAGTTTCATGTTGACATCTCAAAGATGTTTTGAGTTATGCTCCACTCAGGAAAAAAATAAGTATGAAAAACAACAAAGGACAAAAAAAACCTCAAAAAATATGAAAGGTAGAGTTATTATTCTTGTGCACTGCACACCTTCTGAATAAGATCTATCCACCTATGAAGTTTCAAGTTGATACCTCTAACATTTTTTTAGATGAGCTCCAGACAAATGGATAAAAAATAACAAAGGGCAATAACTCGAAAATTATAAAAGGTAGAGTTATCATTTTTGCGCACAGCATTCCTCCTCAATAAGATCTATCCACCTTTGAAGTTTCATGTTGACATCTCAAAGACTTTTTGAGTTATGCTCAACTAAGTTGAAAAATTAAGTATGGAAAATAACAAAGGGCAAGAACTAAAAAATTATGAAGGGAAGAGTTATCATTCTTGTGAAAATCAAATTTATAATAAATAATTAATAATAATTATAACGTAAATGTTTGTTGATGTTATGTTCCTCAATTAAGAAATAGTACACAACACTTTTGGCCGCATAAGATTACAGTGGCCAATCGGTCAGACTGCAAATATTTTACATATGAGGCTGACTATATTTGATATATTATATTGCACTTTACTAGAACATAACCAAAACGTTAAAGTTCACCAAGAAAGGAAATTTTATCACACACCCGTGCCGATTTTGCGACTCCGTAAATATGGTATTGCACGGCCGTGCATATATTTTGACGTGACGTCATTAGCGTTATACAAACATAGTGTAAAGATGCGCTAAATGTTAGCGTTATACTATAGGCGCGTCAATGAAAAATGACTCTTATTTCACTTTAAACGGTCTTTATTTTGGGTATGTGATAAATAGAATATTAAATTCGTGTAAGTTCATTACTGAATTTATTGCACTCGTTGAATAAAATAATATTACGCTCGCCAGAGGCTCGCATAATATAATTTTATTCAACTCGTGCAATAAATTCAGTATTAAACTTACACTCATTCAATATCCTCTATATATTGTATAGATAACAAAATTGTTTGTAAAATGTATTTATATCAATCAAACGCCTGTTGACCCTTAATTATAATTGTATAAACGAAGAAGAAACGCATTAAATTATTTCAGGTATAATAGTATTAAAAATATAAAATATTGTTACTATCAAACGCATTAAACATGCTTACAATTATTGATAAGCGAATATGTGGTGCTTTCTTCAGAAGAATATCATTTTATAATATAAACAGCTTAAGATATAAAACAAACTAACAAAACAAACAAAAAACAACAGCAATTTCTGACTGTTTTCAATTGAAGCATGAAAAAAAGATGCGCATAATTTCGTAAAATAATATAACGTTTTCAGTCAACAACAACAACGACAACAACAGCAGCAACAACATCTTATTTGCAAAAATGTTTTAACAACATTATAGCCATAAAGTATATGTAATGTAAACAGTGATACAAGTTCAAATATAAGAAAGTACAAAAAGGTTAGCAAATGAATTTAATTTCTCTGTCTATTGCACGATGCAAAATAAACATTTTTGCCTACTGTATACCAAATAATTCTTTAGGAGACATTGATAATAAATTTTCAAGTTTTCTTAATGAAGGCCATCTACAGTAATAATGTTTTAAATATTTATTCCTAATTTCTGTGTGTTTGGGTCAGACGGTGGTGTCAGTTTCTATAAGTGTATTTCACACAGTGCTTGTTAATTTTCTCGACTTACCTTTATTGTTTTACTTGAAAACTATTTTTCTACAAGTTTGTTACTTTTCTATTTCTGCAAATAGCACTCTCAAAAAATCTAGATAATAATCCCTTAATTGGAACCAATTCTGCAATGAGTACAATAAAATTACATGAAAATTGCAGACTCGGTTTGACTGAGTTTGTACATGAGGGATAATGAAAAAGAGCACCATCGTCCACGCCCACCAGCATCAAGTCTATTTCACTGAGATAGCTCTTTTCGTTAGATTTAATATTTTTCGCATAATATCAGGAAACCAGTCAACCGGAAATGAAGAAATATTCCAAAACAACGATAATTCTTTGTCTTTGTGTTTAATTTTCCCGTGTATTTTCAAGTCGTTGCAAATATTTTAATATGAAATCAGGCGACCCAGAAGTTGTCCTTGAAATTGGAGATCATTATCTAGTCCGACGAAATGATAAAACATGGCGTAAGTGACTTTTAGCTGGACCGAAAAAATCTCTTTTTTTTTTTCATTGAAACTTTTGAAATTGTTTCAGCTTTGTGCAAGAGTCTAAAAAAAGACAGTTATTTTTTCTCATCATTATGGTCTACACAATGCGATAAACATTTCCTTTTAATAATATAGTATTTTATTGTGCCACAAATTAAACGATTTAGTTGGTAATATAACGATTCGACCCACTGACGATTCGACCCATAACGACTCGCCCCACTTTACAAAAATTATTATCTGATTATCAACAAGTTTAAAAATAATATAAAAAATGACATTGAGCTATAAATGACCTTGACTGTCTAGGTCAAATTATTGTTTGTAATTATTTTCTGTAAATGAAATTGGATCATATTTTGTCCAAAAAAAATATTTTCTATACTGGTCAGGGACCATCAACCGGACACTTTTTGAGCATTTTTCTATACAGATTTCATAATTTTAAACCTAGAGACCAAAAAATTTGACAAAGTTCAGCTAGGTTCTTCTCCCAACTAAGAAACTAGTTTGTTTATTTCTGATTGTATTGACACTTACAACTGAGGCCTGTCATAGAGGTATCAAAATCAGCTTAATTGTCTACACTACAGTACCATGTGTCCGGACAGATATGTACACGACATGATTTAATCAGATAAAAGCTTGGGTGTTTTTGATTTTTGATTCTTTAATGATATACAATATTTCAGCAACAAATGCTTGAGTTTTGGATTCTCTATTGTTTACTCTGCAGATGATTATAGCTGGTATATGAGGTCAGGCATTTCTTTCTTGACCCCCGAATTTCAACGTCAACATTCTTGAAATAGACATTAAAATATTACCATTTACGTTTTTTTTTATTACCATTTATGGAGGTTGAAATAAATTTATTTACTTAATTTTAAAAGAAACATGCACTTAATGTTGATAAGAAAGTGACTGACATCCACTGAACAAAGAAAATACTAAATTAAGCATTTTCGGGGCCGTCCGGATTTGGTGGTTGTCCGGTTTTGGTGGTCCCCAACCAGTAGACTATAAATATTCTTTATTTCTTATCTGCAATCAGAGCAACAGATAAGCTTTGAAAGTAGATTGGGTATTACTCCATCATTCCATGTGAAATTGGGTATTGGTTCCATTTAATTGGGTATTCTAAAACCTGTTACCCTATGATTTTAAGATCGATTGGTATTCAATTATTAACATGATCGCCCAAATGTGCCAATGTGCCAGTTTTTTTTCTACATTACAGAATATCGCACATGATCATCAACTTCGTTATCTCATACATGTGAACTTTTTTTGATGATCAAGTGGGAGATTTTTCTTCAAAAAGAGGGAGATTTTAGATTTTGCTTTAAACAAAGAAGAAAAATCTGACATAAAAAAGAGGGAGATTTCTTAAATTTGTGAAAATACCCCTTATTTTAAGAAAAATCTTTGAAAATGAGGCTGCAGAAAGTGGGAGTCTCCCGCTTAAAGTGGGAGAGTTCACAAGATAATATCTTGTGGATTTATAATTATTTAGAACTGTTGTGTTTAAAATCTTCTTTCATTCCCTATAATGTAAGTATGCTACCTGTTGCTTTCAGAGTGTCTATTGATACAGGTTATTCTCATGGGACCTACTCATCGATGATCTCTGCAAAAACCAACAGTCTCTGCCTGTCTGTAAAGACTGTCAACCTAAGTAGATTATTATATAAATTAACGGTCTCGTGCTGAACTGATTTGACTCTGGCAGTCTTTCAATACCGGGAACTGTCAAATACAGGAGACCCCTGAATTAATTTGAGAATATTCGGATAACATGCACATAACTATTTCCAAAACTACAAGCGGACAACACAGTCATCAAATTTAGCAGTGGCCCATGGCCAGTGAAAAATAGTTCGGGCTAGTGAAAATTTTAAGAAAATTTAGTTAAATGTATAGTAGAATAAATAAAAAACTGGAATTCGGGCTAGTAAATTCAAAATCTTAAATTCATTGACTGACAACAGGTAAATTTTGCGGTGACTAAAATGACAATACTCATGGATCTTGACGACAATTGCATATCTTATTTTAAATGGGTTTTATAAGGAAAAAAATAAACAATTGCGTTTTGTAAAATTTATTGCGTAAATAAGCAAATACGCACCTTATCTGTTGCTCTGTCAGCAATATTCTTCTTACAATGAGTTACTTCAGAAATGAGAAAAAAGTTGAGCATGTAAAATGGCCCTTTCTTGGCAGTGGCTCTTGTGGTTAAAGGAATACCCTGCTAAGTTAAACAACATAAGATGATAATTTGAACACAGCAAATCTTGTATGCAACATGGATTCAAATTATACACATGTAAAAAAATATAAGGGTACTGCACAAGCCACTTGAAATCGGTATGAATTTGTCTGTAAAGAATATATCATGACTTCAAATGAACATGATGAAGAGGTTTCATTTTCAGAAGTGATTGAACTCAACAGCATTTAAAAAATTCTTATGTTTTTTGTCAGGCTATATATGATAAACATTACTTTGAGTCTGTGGTAAAATATAACATCTTTTTTACAAATTTGATACACAAGGGTAATAAATTATGATTTTATCAATGATTTTCTAAACACTCCGTTTTTTTGTCCATTGCAATTATTTTGTTTTGTGTTGTTCGCAGATGCTGCTGAAATAATACAGACACGTGCCAAAGAGACATCTGGAAATGAATATTATGTCCATTATGAAGGCTGTATGTATTATATATTGTGCTGTTCATATCTTCACTGAATATTAATTAGACTTTATACAGACAATTTTTAATGTTTTAAAGATTGTTCTTTTAAATGATTTTGTTCAAGATAATTGATATAAAGAATAAATTTCTAGCTTGATTTATATGAAGAATATGGAGAGCTTTTGTAGTCACTCAGGCATTGATGACATAATTTTTCACATGAGAGCATAAAAGGTCACTGTCCAAGGCCCAAAACTCTTACATGGGTTTTGGCCCTTTTGAACTTAGAAAATTCTTCATAATCCAGGCTCTGAGAATAGTATAGAATGCCCTCCCACTGACGACAGTTCTTGTAATTAAAAAAAAGATAGTATTATGATTTAATTTAAAATATATATAAATTTTATATTGTGCATGTATTTATTACCTCTTTATATTATAATGCTTGACATGTCAGATTATGATATACAAGCCATGTTGTACTTGGTTTATTATTACGAATTACAAATAACGTACTTCTTATCGTGTGTAAAAATTATTGTCAATTTGCACAGTTCCAATTCAGATATAATATCATTCAAACTATTTAATAATAACATATAAAATAAAGTATAAATACTCATACTCTCCTGTTAACACACTGTTAGGTGTTGGGTATGCGGTTTATCCCAAATACATAAATAATGAAAAGGTTCTCTTAGCTATTAAGCGACAATTAGAAAAATGGAGTTTGCTGTCCATTGACAGCTTTTGTGTAAATTTCACAATAACACAAGATTGTCTTTGCAAAGGAAAATATAATCCTAAGTATATTTTTCGTCAAAGCTTCTTCTTCTGTTTCTGAGATAAAAGTTACATTCAATTTTTCAATACCTTTTTAACATACTTCTTTATACAGTTAACCGCAGACTTGATGAGTGGGTTGATTTGGACAGATTTGATTTGACCAATAAAATTGAAGACCAGCAGAGTAAGATAAAGGATGTTACTGTAATGATGACAGATCTCAGTGATGGCACTGATAGAAAACTTACACGTAATCAGAAACGTAAACATGATGAAATTAATCATGTACAGAAGGTAAACTCACAAATTCTGTGTTTTAATACTTTTAGTGTTTTAAGAGTTGACAAAAATTTGTTTCAAAATAATTTATTTTACCGATCCATACTTTCTGCTACATTGTGGGATTTATTGTTGGATCTTTATAAATATAAACAATGTATGTCACAGATCCTTTTGTTTTTTATGCTCTATTTTTTAAAAACTGAAAATGGACAAAGCTGATAGGTATTCATCAAATGTATATATATGTATAATGTTATCTGTTCTTGATTCTTTATAAAAAAAAAATATTTTCAGACATATGCTGAGATGGATCCTACTACAGCAGCATTAGAAAAGGAGCATGAGGCAGTGAGTATACACTGTATTATTATATCCAGTCTTGGCAAAATGCCCCCATTTGTGCTTTCCTTAACAGTGGCATTTATTGGTATTTACCAGCATTTACTGACTTTTTCAGCATTTATGACCTAACGATTTTGAATCTGCTCTTCAAATGTGTTGGTGTCCATCCATCCACCCAACAAACTCCATATTAAAAATTTCAGTGGCTCTTCAGTGCTTGCAAGCATTACTGAAATAATGGAGTATGCTGTTGTTTCTTAAATATTATCTTTATAATACATTACTTGACAATTTGAATATGCACATGTATGTACATAAATATGCATATACATAATGATAGATAATAAATACAGCCTACACAAGTGAAAGTGATTCTACATCCAAAGAATCATAAGTGATGAATGAGTTATCTAGTAGTACTGTAATTCAAGGCAAGATGATTTTCTCAGCTTAAGTCTCTTAACCTCTCTAGAAAAAAGTGTCCTCTTCTAATAATTCTATAACATAGATGGTAATGTCAATATTAAGTACATAAAAGTCATGCAGATCACTGTTTTTTGTTTGTTATCTTTTTAAAAGATTTTATTTTGTTGTTTCTTTTTCAGATAACAAAAGTAAAGTACATAGATAAGATTCAGATAGGGAAGTATGAGATAGACACATGGTATTTCTCACCTTATCCTGAGGAATATGGCAAACAACCAAAACTCTTTATCTGTGAATATTGTCTTAAATATATGAAGCTAGAGAAAACATTCAGATATCATCAGGTAAGTGGACAGTATGATTATACAAAGTTATAGTACCAAAATTAACAGGCGCTTCATTGTCTGAAGAGGTGTACATGGAAGTGTGGTTATGGTCATTGACTTAAATCACTTCACCGCTGTAGGTTCTAAACCCACCTGGGACTTCAATTCTTCCATTTAGCTTATGGAAAGTTGATGGTTCTACTCAGGTGCCTGAAATAATCCACAGAGGGGTACATGACATCTTCCTCTACCAGTAAAACTGGAAAGTCGCTTTATAACCTTTACTGTGTTTGTGCAATGTAAAACCCAACAAAAATATAATAAATATCTATTGACTCTATTCATCATAATAGAGGAAAATAGGATTAGAATGGACAGATAAACTTTTTATTATGTTATTGAAATAATAATAATAATAAACTATTTAGGATATCAAACTATCATAAAACAAAATTCATTAATTGTTATTTGAATATTGACATAATTTTAACTTATATTACATATTTCTAAACATGTTAATGTTTGCAATATGTGTATTTTTGCATATTAAGACTTAAATAAAGATAAGAATAAAACTATTGTTTAGAGAGCTCGTTCTTCTTAAATTAGTGTGCCAGGCAGTTCTTCTGCTTGTACTGACTACTGGCATTAAGGTGACAACAGACACTTTCCGTGGTACTCACATAAATGTCATTTAAACTAAGTTATTTTAGTAATAATTATTATTTATTTAATGTTTGTGCATTAAATATCGTTGATCATCATAAAAAATAACATATTTGAAAAAAATGCCTTTGTGAATGATTGATTTTGAATAAAAATCCTAAAATTTTAAATCGTCATATCAAAGTCATTTTTTATTTTTTTGTCATCAAACTTTTGGAAAATAACCATACTTATATTATCTGGGGAACCGTGTCTCAAATTTTTTCTATCTTTTCTCAAAAAAATATTACGTAACGTCAAACATTTTATGCGACTTTTTTCACCATACATATTACGTAATTAAAGATAATTAAGTCGCTGATTGAGCAAACAAAAATCCCTGACACGGTTCCCTCCGTAAATGAATTTCCTTTCATGTGCTTTAAACCGCATGTTAATTGCTTGGTTATTAAAAAAGTTATGCCGATTCAAAGTTAGTCCGACCCGCATCAAACGAAGTGTCATAAATCGGCTGTTCTCTCTGGGACCCCTACGTTTCACGCTAAATAATTGCATAATACACAAATATCGCACCAGAGAGGGTCACAAGTTGCGGTAACATACTCTAACAACATTTTATGACCCAGTGACATCTGACCAATTAAAAAGCTGCTGATTAATATCAGTTTATAGCCGAAATTTCTTCAATTCTTAACGTGATTTACTCTCCGTCTGGTATCTGTCGCACATGTCACGTGACTATCGGTAAAATTTGAGGCACTCAGTGGGGGGAAATGGAACGCATTGCGCACCGCTAGCGGGGTATTTAATTGTTTCGTTTTTGAAGTTTATTATAATTATTATCATCAGCATTATTATTGTATTATACCAGTGTCACTCTGCCGGTGTATTCGTGTATGAAATTCCGTTAAAATATAAAATAACAAAAAACTGAGCTTCTGACAGTCTTTTAAAGTCCATGGTAGATGTACAAATAAGAACGGGATATTATATTTTTTTTTCCACCAAATTGATAATGCTTCACATATTTTAATAGAAATAAAAGGTATTACTCGATCATTATGATCTGGCCTTCTTGACTTCTATTATCATGAATATCATCTATGCACGGCATAGAGATCCAGTTTCTACCGGGATAGACAATAAATTTCATACTTTGTCCCAGATTTATTAGTACTGTGTCCGATTTACTGGCAAACAATTTATTTTCACTGAAAATATTTTTTAATATCTTTTTTTTTTATTCATAGAGAAATAATCATCCTTAGACAATCTAAAATGGTTTAAAAATTTGTCAGGGACACCTTACCACAAGTCATATAGGCGTTCACATAAAAAATGTTCTCTGTTTTTGTTGTTAATTGTTTTACTTGACATTGTTAGAAAACGAGGTTGAATGTAAAGTAAACCCTTGAATCCGTACAAAAGTCTATCAACCTAATGTAATATCTATCATTAATTATTTATGTTTCATACATTATGTTACGTACATAGGCCGACAATTTTTTAATTTATAAAAAAAGGCTAAATGTTGAGATATTCATAAAAGATGTACGGTAGTTGTACGATACATGTATTACGAGTAGTATGGACCAGTATGGACCTGTAATTCACGCATATATGGAACTACCGATTTCCCTCATTGATGCCTCAACAGGGGGCGGAGCGTTATCGATAATCGACAGGTTACGCGAATAGCAGATACAAATAGTATAGGTACCGTTTTAAAACGTTTAAAAACACATTTTTTGGACTAACTGCTTCCAAAATTAAATCACGAATGTGTTCAGAAAAGGTTGATAAATCTACTTAGCAAAAAATCTCATTTTAGGTATTTTCAGTGATAATTGACTCCGTTGTCACCTTAAGAAATGGTGGTGGTGTTGGTAGTTTTCACTCCTGATCACAACAGTAATGTCAAGCAGTTTACCAGTACTAGTTGCCCAGATTTCCACAAGGAACTAAAACTTCTGTACATGCCAGAGCAGAGGTACTGTGCGAATGACTGTAGATATGATTTCACGAAAGTGACCTGCACCATCTGGAAATCAAACCCAGGTCGCCCGATTCACAGTCCAACGCTCTACCTATTGAGCTAATTGGACGGCTTGCATAAAGAAATGATTAGTTTACTGGTTTTATATAAGCCTATGACTATACATACTGTCATTATAAGACATTAACTGTTTCAGAGTCAGTGTGTATACAGATTTCCTCCAGGCAAGGAGATTTACAGGAAGGGAACTTTGTCTTTGTTTGAAGTTGATGGAAAAGATAGTAAAGTAAGAAATAAATGTGTACAATATTCATAATGAAACATAGGAACATTGTTATCATTACGTTTAGTCATTGAGATTAAACATTTACAGAAATTTATTAAAAACCTTTTTTTTTTAGTTGATAAATATAAAAAAATGAACTAAAAGTAAAACTCTATATATATGTTCCCTTTTCTCAAACTTTTTTCAACTCCTTTCTTACTTTTTACATAGTTGAAGTGAAATTTTTATATCAAATTTTGCTATAATAAAAGATTTTACTGATTGAGTTTTAAATTTTATTACAGATTTATTGCCAGAACCTATGTTTACTAGCCAAGTTATTTTTGGATCACAAGACACTATACTTTGATGTGGAACCTTTCTTGTTTTATATCCTGACAGAGGTTGATAGACATGGTTGTCATCTTGTTGGATACTTCTCTAAGGTATATAGAGTAAACATATACTAATATACAAGTTAGCAAAAATAGTATTTTAAAGCAGGGCATGTTAATCTATCATATTACTGAGGGTAGTGGCTAATATAGTCTGGCATTGACAAATACTCTCAATAGTTGACTTGACTTGAACTGTCTCAACCATAATCATATTTGGTGCAAATTTATACAATCATTGCTATGAACGGATAATTTGAAATCAACAACATCTATTTTTCTTACAATTAGCAGTTCTTGTTGACTCGAAATAGTTGGTGTTTTTCTGTCAGCTTGTCTGGCACTGATACGGTGTTGAAAGTGACAGTGTCCTATATATTTGTTGGCTGTTGGTAGTAAAAATTTGTTGATATTGTGATTTAAACGATTATAGAATATTTGTAATGAAAGAATTTTATCAGTTTATTTTATTGAAAATACTGTGGCAAGCATGAAACTATCAGGAAACCTAATAAAATAGCAGCAGAATATTTTATTCCAGAACATTTCATTCTGTTTACATACAATATTCATGTACCATATATTAAATTTCATAGACATTTTATGGTACAAATCTTTCAAGAAACAACCATAAGGTTGTGAAAACATAAGGTTGTGAAAACAACCTATTTTATTGTGTTTAGATTTTTTTAAAAGACACTATGGTGTTCTTTGTTCAGGTCCAATTATTCTAGGTTGATACTCTGCATTATCAAGAATAGAAAAATTACTTATAAAATTGCAGTGTTGTAGATTGGAAAAAGTGCTTGTGATGTTTGATTTAATATTAAAATGATGCAATATATTTGACAGGAGAAGGAATCACCAGATGGTAACAATGTAGCTTGTATCCTAACATTACCACCATTCCAGAGGAAAGGATATGGAAAATTCCTCATAGCTTTCAGTATGTAATGTATATTTACATGGAACAAAACTTATAAACCCCCACTGTATACAAGTTGTTTGAGAATTGTGGAAATATCTTTATGAGCATGTAATATAATATGTGGTAGGGGTTTATAAATTTTGTTCAGGGAAGTTTGATATGTTTGTTAGTGTTATTTTCACATGTAAATCTGACCTGCTTAATTCAGGAAAATGTATGCTATAAGTCACTTATTATGATTAGATAAAGCATTTCCAATCTCAGTAATGAAGTTGTTTCTAACTTTTTGTTATTTATGTATATGTATCTATATTTTGTATAAAATAGAATTCAGGATAGCATTAACAAATATTTGTCAACAATGTTTAACTTGAAGAAATATCTTTTGCTTAAAGAAAACTCTTATGGCAGCATGGTAACAGCCATTTGAAGTGATTAATTCCACAATAAGATGTTCACACATAAGTTTGATGTTTACAGGTTATGAGTTATCAAAGTTGGATTGTACAGTTGGTTCCCCAGAAAAACCTTTATCTGATCTCGGTAAACTAAGCTACAGGAGTTACTGGTCCTGGGTACTCCTTGAAATACTACGAGACTTCAGAGGAACTCTCTCAATTAAAGACTTGAGGTAAAAAAAAGATTGTTAGTTCTTGTTGAAAATTAAAATTGTAAGATACTGTCCAAATAGAAGTAGAGAAATATAACTTGATAATTAATTTTTCGAAAATTACACAGGGCTCACGCTGTCGGTCGCCATAGTCGCCATTTGCGATTATTTTATATAAGATTGGCGATTATTTTTGCATTTTGGCTACAAAATCTGGCGATTATTTTTTACTTCCAACAGTGTTTATATAAGGTGTAAAAATCGATAAAGAATGCAGTAGACCCAATTAACACCAGCGCGGTAGATTTAATGAGTGTCAACTTTTTATCGGTCACATGCTGCTTACTATATTGCCCGAGGTGATAAAAATACATGCGAGATGTAAAATTGTATAAGTACTTAAAAGATATTGTCCAGCATTATAATAGCTATCAAATATCCGTCAATTAGCTACAAAAATCGTCTTTAAATTGATAAACTGGATATTGACCAACCCAAAATTTACCGTAAATTGCAGTAATTGCAAATTTTGATTTTTTTTTTTGTTTTAAGCTGCTTGACAAAATTGCCAGTGGAAAAACAATGATAAATTTTAAAAAAGTATTTACTTCCAAACAACTATTTACACAACGACCAAAATTGTGAATATTTCTTCAGAAAACAGGAAAAAATCCGATTGTCACATATTTTCGCGACACCGATAATTTTGATATTTATTTAAAGGTGAAAATAAGCTATGTTCTGTTTAAAAATCTTAACTATTATGGCAGAAAATTTGTATTACATTGGTGATGATGACATTTTTCAGTAAGTTATTCAGAAAAAAGGCAGCATTCTGTGAATGAGTTTGCAAGTGTTATTTCTATAGGCTAATTAATATTGGGTAGATCTACTCCAGTTCTGTGTGAAATGTGGAAATTGACAGTGAATTTGATTAGAACAAACAAAGGAAATTGTCTGATAACAGCATTATGTAAAGTTATAATGAATCTTTAATATTATTGTTATACAGTAATTATACTATATAACATGTTCTATAATAGCAATTAAAGTTGTGGTTCTATGTAAAAAAGGTAGTTATCAATATACACAAATGTATCAGTTTATTTGAGAATCCTTATAAAACTGAAAAAGATTTATAAGGAATGTTTATTTAGTCAACTGCTTATGTTGTTAAGCGCTAAATCGTGAATAGTTCGCTGAACTTTTGGCTATTATTTTTTAAAGTTAAAAATATTGGCTATTATTTTTTAAAGTTAAAAATATTGGCTATTATTTTTTTTGAGCCAATGTGAGACCTGATTACACTTGATAAAAAATATTTTCTTTTCTTCTGTATGTGACATATGTAAAAAAAAACCACTACAAATCTTAGGATAATTTATGTCACCATTTTAAAGGCACATAAAGCCTCAAGAATAAAAACATTTTTTATTTCGGTAGAATAGGAAAACATTTTTAAAATAAGGCTACCTGCAGAAAATTGTGCTGACTGTAAAATCATGTATGTGATGAAATTCAAATAAGTGATTATTTTTAATTCCATACAAAATGCTAAATCACAAAAGATGTTTCAGCCACATTTATATGGCTAATGAGTAAATTTTTGGAAACTGTTAGAAAATGAAGAAAAACTTTGCATTTTTGAAGCATAATGTGCCTCTAATAAATGAATGAATGTGTTTTTTTTCTGATACAGTGAAATGACAAGCATCACCCAAAATGATATAATCAGCACACTACAGTCTCTCAACATGGTTAAGTACTGGAAGGGTCAGCATGTAATCTGTGTCACTCCAAAGCTTGTTGAGGAACATTTAAAGAGTTCGCAATACAAACGTCCCATACTAACTGTAGACACAGCATGTGTCAGATGGGAGCCACCACGTAAACAGCATAAAATGAAGAAAACCTGAAAGTCTACGGAAGTTAACTGGCAATAACTTACAGTTATAAGAATCTTTATTCTATCAGTAGAGATGAGTAAATGAGTGACAGTACTGAGAGATGATGGCAGCAATAAGAATATGTGTCTATACATCACTTAATGACAGTCTTTATCTTTTATACTGACTCGTGAAATACTTGGTTTTATCCTTAAAATAAAATCCATATCACTTGTAGTATTTCTCTTTCACTGTGACTGATAACAGCTTTGCTGGAGTTTTTTGGTGTATGTTTTTGGAAATTTGTAAATTTACATAAATTTATTTGTTTTTGTTTATTTCTTGATTTAAATATCTGTATTTTTTTCTTGAAAAAGAATGCATGAATAATGACTTTAAAAGTGAATTATTACTTTTGTTTGTGTAGTGTTCCTGTAGCTGTTAAAAGGTTGACATTATCTTCTTTATATGCATCTGTTTCATTGCTTTAAATAAGAAAACAATGTTATATTCTTTAAATGCTTTTGATTTAACATTAAAATGGTTCTTTAGAATGTTGCCTTATGTAAGTTGATTGTATGAATGTTAAAAATTACAATTCAGTGTTCAGTCTAGACTGTGCCATTGCCCTTTTTGCACTTCAAATATATAAACATTTGAATATCACAAATTTTCTTTCAGTTATATGAGCCACGTCACGACAAAACCAACATAATGGGTTTGTGACCAGCATGAATCCAGACCAGCCTGCGCATCTGCGCAGTCTGATCAGGATCCATACTGTTCGCTTACAAACTCTATAACAAGTAGAAAAACTGATAGCGACAGCATGGATCCTGATCAGACTGCGCGGATGCGCAGGCTGGTCTGGATTCATGCTGGTCGCAAACCCATTATGTTGGTTTTGTCGTGACGCTGCTTATATGTCTGATTCCCAAATTGTGGGCCTGAACAAAGCTGGATTAAACAATGATGCATGTTTTAACATGTATTGAAATCAGTCGGCAAGCAGCAGTTGTTAGTTGAAATTTGAGATCTGACTGTATTAAGTTAGGACAAGGTTAGCTTTTAAAAAAGCTAGTAGCGACTCGCTTCGTAATTTTTTTCCAGGGGTGCGTTTTAATGTAAAAATGACAGTTCTGTTAGCTGAAGAGACTTCAGCGAACATCAAAATAAAAGTGACATAAAGTTATGGAAGCCAGTTTCACTCAGTTTAACAAAGAGGAATATGAGTATATATGAAGATGCATGTAAACAGATAGAATGAAGTCCCTATGTCTATGCACAATTACTCAATGGCCTTTTGACCTTGACCAAATAAATGTTAGATAGGTAGAATTCATAAAGATGTCTCTTTATACGAAGTTAAGTTGTAATATGATATTTAGTATTGGAATGAGTGACAGACACAATTCCTAAAGTAAACACAAGTTGTCAATTAATTCTGCCAGAAAAGCCGGGATCCTATTAAAAATATAGGGATCCCGGGAATTAACCAGTCTTAGATGCTTTTCAGATAAGCCAGGATCCTATTAAACATATAGGGATCCCGGGAATTGACCAGTTCAAGAATATAGTTTTCAGAAAAGCCGGGATCGTATTAAAGTATAAAGAGATCCAAAGAATTGGCCAGTTCAAGAATATAGTTTTCAGAAAAGCTGGGATCGCATTAAAACATAAAGGGATCCCGGGATTTGACCAATTCAAGAATTTTGTCGTTGATTTTTCCAATTAATTAGGCATATAATTATAAGTATTGTGATTTTTAAGTTTGTTGATAATTAGCTCTAAATATATTTATATCCAAAGTTTAATTAATTTAACGTTCATTACATACAATAAAAAAACTTAACGTTTAATGGCCTTTCATTACGACAATAATCAACACAAATATAGTTTATAAGTTTTTCCTCTATATCTTATACGATCCCGGATCCCGGCCAGTCCGGGCGTCCCGGATCCCGGCCAGTAAATATATACACTAAATACCGGACAGGATAAAATGACCGGAAAAAATGAAAAAGAAAAAATGCACAGAACCAGGTGTACACTTATGTTAATTAACCAAACGAAAACTTACTACAGAGAAACAGGTGAAATCGCTAAATCAAAAGTCAGTGTTAATATGATTTATTGAAAAGAATTCATGAAAACAAACATTTTTAATAATCATAATATCTTTGCGCTCAAAACAATACCTGCTGCTTTTTAAATATGGCGTGAAAATTGAAGGTTTTTTGACGCTATGTAAGATTAAATTTGATTGGCTAAATAATTTTGGATCCTAGCCCTGTTAGATAAATTTTTATAGAAAGCTGGAAGCCAAGCTTCGATTAAATTTGTGGATGTATTCGGAGTTTTAGGTTGTTTCTCAGTAAAATCCATTGTATTATGATATTATAAACAACATTTAGATGTATCGCTTACGTGAATCATACATTGTATACATGTACCAGTTTGTGTTAACCATTGTTTCATTAAAACTTCATTTGAACTGCGTCACAACAAAACCAACATAATGGGTTTGCGATCAGCATGGATCCAGACCAGCCTGCGCATCCGCGCAGTCTGATCAGGGATGCGCAGGCTGATCAGGTTCCATGCTGTTCCCTTACCAACCCTATTACAAGTAGAGAAACTGATAGCCAACAGCATGGATCCTGATCAGACTGCGAGGATGTGCAGGCTGGTCTGGATCCATGTTGGTCGCAAACACACTATGTTGGTTTTGTCGTGACGCGGCTCATTTGTGAATATTATATAACTAGTTTAGTTATTTATTGACAACATACTAGTTTTTCTTATAAGCATAATAATGGATTCAAATTTATGACAAAAGCATGAAACTTAAAAGCATTTGATAATATAAGTCACTACCAGTATTTAAGTATTGTCCAACAAGAAAATGAGTGAGATACAATCTGGACCGCACCTAATGTATATCTTCTGTAGATCTCCTGTCTGTGGTGCTTCTAGATTGCTGATCGACCTCCATCATCAGCATGGTGCTCGCCGTCATTGATATTTCAGCCCTTATCCATGTATATCGGCTGGCGAGTGGGCCCACCGTCTTACGGTGTGAAGGTCGATTGCTTCCAGCTCCTTTCATCTCAGCCACAGTGAAATCAGCATCTTCATCACCAACAACAAATTGAGATGGGAGTTGGACTTAAATTTCAAAGTGATAACAAAGCAACAACAACTTTTTAAGATACAAAATGTTTTATTTAACTTGAATGCATTCTGTACATTATTGGAACCTGAAATGATAAAGACTGAGTTAAATAGTTTATGTTAAGGACACTGACTAGGTTATTTGCAGGTTAGAATGATTGGTCTTCAATCTTGTAACCTACATGTATATAAATATTAATAAGTTTCAGGTGATATTACTTATATAAAGGTATGGCACCAGTAAGGTAGAGTTTGCTATTTCATTGGGTACACACCTAAGTGGATGACAAATGTGGTAAATTGTTAATGAAGTTAGGTAATGGGTGTCGTGTATGTTTACTGCCAAATGCATTAATGTAATTTCATTACCCTGTGATGTAATGTTGACTATTGTTTGTTTTGTTAATGATCAATGTCCTTATTAGTCCCCTACAGGTTTACCGGAGGGGACTTTAGGTTTACCCTCCGTCCGTCTGTCTGTCAGTCCGTCCGTCCGTCCGTCCGTCCACAAAACTGGATCCCGCGATAACGCAAAAAGTACTGAAAATATTTTTATGAAACTTGATATATGGATAGATGGCAGTATGGAGATTATGCACGTCTTTTTCTTTTCTTCCTATGTTGAAAATTCTGGTTGCTATAGCAACAAATCAACTGAAAATATGGCAAATTTTACACATAACTTGGATCCCGTGATAATGCAAAAAGTACTGAAAATATTTTTATGAAACTTGATATATGGATAGATGGCAGTATAGAGATTATGCACGTCTTTTTCTTTTTTTCCTGTCCTGAAAATTCTGGTTGCTATGGCAACAAATAGACTGAAAATATGGCAAATTTTACACAAAACCTGGATCCAGTGATAACGCAAAAAGTACTGAAAATATTTTTATGAAACTTGACATATGGGTAGATGGCAGTCTGGAAATTATGCACATCCTTTTCTTATCTTCCTCTGTTGAAAATTCTGGTTGCTATGGCAACAAATGGACTGAATTTCAAGATTTCTGATTCTAGTTTTTTAAGTTTTTTTCACTATAAGTTCTTTATTTCTTAAGGTATTATCTTCAAACTTTAAATATAAGTTGCTAGTCATCAACCACATCATATGTGACAAAGTTTACAACTCTAGCACAAAATTTATTAGAATTACCTCCCTTGAACTTAAAATTTTCATGAAAAAAAAATATTGTTTTTTTTAATAACTTCTTTTTTTCTGAATGTATCTACTTCAAACTTCATATATATGTTTCTTATTATCACTTAACATTTGTGAGAAAGTTCAATACTCTAGCAAGACTATTTCCAGAATTAGGCCCCTTTTGAACTTAGATTTTTTTTCGAGAAATTGGTAATTTTTACTTCAACTTCTTCAATCATGATAGGATTTTCTTCAAATTCCCACATCATAATAATATGACAAGGTTTATAAATCTAGCATCCATATTTCCAAAGTTATCTCCTCCTTAAACTTTTAATTTTTCTTATTCGTTCTTTTAACTTTCATTTACTTCAAATTAAAAATAACCATTCTTTATTCATACGTTCATTACTAATTGTTCTTTGTTACACTCACATCATGTATGACATCTTGCATCTTTATTTCAAGAGTTATCTCCTTTTTAAAAAATTTGCTTTTAAAAATGTTATATTTTGATAACAGGGATGTTTAAAAAATAACTGTAGAGTGTCCTTCAGTCCGTCTGTCTGTACATAAAAATTGTTTCCTGTGGTCACTTTTAAAGAACTTTTTCAACAAATTTACTTAAAATAGAAACATTAGTGAATTGCCAATGGCCCTTCAGAATGTTGCTGGGGTTCTAACCGGTAGGGGACTTATGGATTGCTTGCAATACTATGATAATTGCTTGTTTATCTAGTTTCACCAGGTAAATAAAATGGTAATAATGATATTAGAATGTCCGGGTCATCATCGGATGTTTAACGTTATTGTCACTCGTGAACTTGACCATAAGTTGCTGTGTTTGCAAAATGATCACTCTAATACCTTATCCCAACTTTTGTTGTAAACTGTTACCAATAGCTACTGTCACTAACTTTTACAGATAAATTTACTCTGTTCATATGGTCAACATCAAACATAAACATAACAAAGCAACATAACCTATCGAAAAAAAGTATTACAAAATGGAAATACTTAAACATTTTTTGATGATACATTTACTTTTTTCAGGTTTGTTTTAGTCCTTTCACACATGTCTCTGAAAGAAGTGCTTGCTTTCCAAAGTTTCCCCATTAAAGGAATGGTTACTTTAGTAGCTGATATTTTCCTATTTTTCACGAACGTGCAAGGGTCTGGAACACCATCGTTCCAATAGGTGAAGCCTGGGATTGGTACGACCTTTGCTCGAAGTATCCGCGCTAGACATCCTGTAATAAAGGCGTCCTCTATAGGCATATAAGGTATATATTCAGACGTTATAAACATGTCTGTTATAATATTTCCAGAAATAACATATGAATTTCCTGAAGCATAGTTCGGATAATAGCTCAGAGGAAATTCATCCTTTGATACAGCCCATTTTCCAGACCTATGCACAGAAGCACGCTGGTTTATATAACCATACACTGCACCTTTTATACCATATAGTCTCTTGTGAAGTTCGTTTGTAAGTTTTGGTATATCAACAAACACATCCTCATCAACTTTTAAAAGAAAGTCTATATTACTGCAATAAATAGACACCCATTTTAAGGCTACCAACATTTTTCTTGTGAGGTTCTTATACGATTCTACAAAATCAGACACAACAATATCATTATATACCTTACTTTCATTTTGAACAGATCGCTGTGTATTAACGTCACCGTCTTTTCCGAGCAGGAACATAAGTTTTACTGTCACTTCTATATTTATATGGTCAATAACAAATGACTTATTCGAGTAAGAGCCGTACGTTTTCCTTATTGCATTCCGAACATTTGAATGACTTGGGATCGATGGTACCACAATAAGTAATGTCATATATCTGGAATCTGTTTCACATATTTGAGAACCATTTATGCTGAAATTGTGCTCAATTGGATTTACCTTAAATGCCCTTGGTGTATAAAAATGTCTTTCATTTTCTTTACGCCGGAGACGTAACTTTTGCATTAGTTCCGCGGTGTATGTATCATTTACCACCTTTCCCGTTAAAGTTGTAATCATTTCAGTATCGTTCGAAACTTCAACTTTACCAGATTCTGTAACTATGTAGTCCACATTTGTATCAATAAGATCTTGTTTCTCATGTTCAAAATATCTGCCATCTCCTGGATTAGGATGAAAATTTCTGAACCATGCTTTTTCGTTAGTTTTGCGTATCTTTGTTAGTAAGAATAAAGCACGTTCTTCGTGTGTTGTTGTCGAAGCCGGTTGAGTGTAATCAGGATTCCTTTGGTCTTTACGGGATGGTTCCATAAGCTGGAAAGGGTTTAGGCGTTCTTTGTATGATTTCCTGAGCTTGTTAAGCGTTTTGAGCTGTGCACCTTTGTTTTTCGAATGTTCGACAATAAATTTTTCCTTTTTGTTGAATAACCGGATACGTGTAACGGACATTTTGCGTTGCTCTTCAAAGGTTTCGGGTAAAGTTTTCAACAGGACAAACACAAATAGAACCATCCAAATAGATAACAATTGTGCCGTAACTGGTATAACCCGTCTCATTGTTTTCTCCTGTCTTTACGTCGCAGGCAGTTCACATTCTTTGCTCTAAAATAATCAAAATACATGTACCTTTTGCTTTATTTACTATACCAGTAAGCAATGATTGTGTCATACAATATGTACAATAAATAAACATTTTCTAAAGTGTGATTCACATTCACACGTTAATGTGGTATACGGACCATTTACATGTTCATCTCTAGAATATCTAAGAAATGTAAATAAAATGATTGCTTAGAAGATTTAATTTACATGTGTGATTTGAAAACATATTTACTCTAATAATATTATGCATATTTTTGTTTTAAATTTTAGCCATCTTCGTGTCACCAATTTGAATTTATATATATTTATCAAAGAGTGTTTTGATTATTTCCTCGTAAAGAAAAAATGAGATTGTAGTGATCATAATTAAATTGTCATTCTAACATCTTAATTTATCTTCATCTTTTTTTATTCCTTTTTTATAAAAAAAGAAAGAAAACAGTTCTTTTATCGAAACGACTTTTTCGAATTTAATTTTAAAATAAATTCAGTTTTAAAAGCGAAATTTAAACTGATTTATTTAGTTCTTGTGTCCATAGTATTTTATTGGTCTTGTTTTCTCTGTTACAATTTTCGTTGTTTTAATTTCTTTTCTTTCGTCTGAACTTTGATTCGGAATAAAAACCTAATACCTCGGGTTTATTTATTTAACAGACTGATGAACGTTTAATATACTTTCTAAATTATTTGTTTAGTATTCTAGACCATGACCAGTTTTTCTCATATCAAATCTAAAAAAGTTTTACTAAAAATCAATAGGAAGTAAACTTTGCGCGCAACTTTTAAGATTGTCAGCTATCAAGAGAATTCATCAGCAACTTAGTTCACGCATCTCATTTAACGAATATCTAACACTGAAATTAATGAGAGTTTGTGTCTTAAAATGGTTTTGTCCATTAGTCAGAACAATTTATGAAAAGTTATAGTACACACATGTATGTACTTTATTATAAATTTAAAAAATTCTCTATGGATGAAACACTTTACCATATTTAAAATTGTATGTTGCTTATTTTCAAATATAAATATTCCAAACCTTTTTCATCAGTTAATTTACTTCCGCACATATTTGAGACATTATTTGCATGAAATAAGAGTAATTTGTGGTTAGAGGATATATTTGTTTGTATTCATAATTGAATTATACATTATATTGACAGTATATGTAATCATGTAACGCTGCGCAATTGTATAAAGGTAATAGCCAATTTGTGAAATATTGTTTACTTATATACCATATTTATAATTCATATGTTTCTACATCTCCGTCTTGAACATCAAAGGAACTTGATAAATTTGTTTAAATAATAGATTGATGTAAGAAATACACACTTGCTATATTTATTATCTTTAAAATCGCAACCACGCAACCACAGAGTTAATTGGGGTTTTTAAGCTGCATGCCTCTAGACGAGCCAAAATATCTTAAGAAAATCATATTAGAGAAAAATGTGCAAGATTTAAAGAAGAATAAAAATATTTATTATCGGTAAAATTAAGAGCAACTAGTTTCTACTTGTATGTTTACATAGATTCTATATTTTCAATGTTCCTTAACGTATTGAAATTTGTAAAGGGCACACTACACAATAACACAAGTGTATAAAAAACATTAGCTCGTTCTTTCTTATTTTTTCATGTGAAGTTAATCGTATATCGTATACTTTTTTAAGAATAATACTAGATCTAAATATTTCCAAAGACAATTTACCGGAGACGACATATTATAAAACAAGAGGGCTTTGTTGGCCCTTATATCGCTCACCTGATTTTGATGGCCCTTAATGAAAAAAAAATAAGATTGTTCATTTTTAATGAAAAACAGATAAAATGTCTTAAACTTAAACTGATATCACAAAGTTCATATCTACATCCGAAATATATTTATAATTATTTCAGTTTCAAAGTAGGCGAACTGTCGTATGCGCGTCATATGGAAAGTACTCATTTCCTCGTGCTGACTGCGTTGTTAGGTCATTCGAAGCTTTAGTATTGCTAGCAAAATTTATTATTGTCACATGTATTATGTCCCTACCGCCCATCAAATTTGTAACGCTGTGCCGCGTAGCGAGGAGGAGATTATGGGAATAGCCTTCGTCTGTCCGTATGTCAGTCTTCTGATGAATATCCTTGTTTATTCCGTACAAACTTATACTTTTGTGGTAAGAATTAAGTTGCTTTTAGGGTGAAAATAGGTTGTTTCTGAGGTTTTAGAGATCGAAGAAGATAAAAAAACAACTAAAATAACCCCATAAAGTCAAATCAGGGAGAACGTCCGCCCGCCAGTAACATTTTCGTGTCCGCTCCATTGAAAAGATTTAAAATTGGCACAATTGTTCACCATTATGAAACGATGTGCAGAGCGTAACAACCAAGTGGCTTCCCCCAAGGTCAATGTCACGCTTAAAGGTCAAATGTTAAAATGTCTACATTTCGTTCCATTCCATAAAATTTAAACTTATGCAAGTTTTTATGAAAAACTTGACACAAATCATCATAATTATTTGGAGGTCTAAGCTAAGAGACGACGATATATGCCGAGCGCGAAAACAGGTCGCAACATCCAAGGTCAATGTCACATTTAAAGGTTAAATGTCAATTTAAAAACCCCGCCCGCCGCATTTCATGTCAGTTTTATTACTTTTAAACAAACGAAAATTCAAAATTAAAAACAAAAAAAACTGACAAATGATCATATTTTGAAGTCTAACTTTTCTTTCTTTTCACTTGCTACCGGTTCCAGTGTTCTACTACGACAGGGGATACAGATGTGTCGTTCCGTGACATAATACCGTCCGACACAGCTGTTCTTCAGGCTGCTTTTTCTTCTTCTTCTTCTTCTTCTTGTTTATGTATGCCATTTCACATTTAGAAAATAAACAGGTTGGTTAACTTTGTGAAGTAGATAGTAGCTATAGCGTTTCTTGTGTGCAATGAAAGAATTTAAAATTCATTCTCATTATGAAAATCCACAGATAATAAAACACACTGTACATTTGTTTGTTTTATATGACTGAAATATTTAAGCTTTTATAATATTCATGGTATTACATGAAATGTGTAGTTTAAACTTTAAAATGCGATTATCAGTCCATTTGTAAAAAAATGAATGACTGAATACCATGACACTCATAAGATTGTGTCTAAATATTGATTTTTTTTTATTAAAAAATAGATATTTTAGAGATTATTTTTAATAGTTTTACAGTCTTTTAATTATAACTCCTTATGTAGGAGTGGCTTTGTGTTATTTAAAATTTGTGTTTTATTTCTTAAATATATGTAAATATGTAAAGATGCACAAAGATGAGACTTTAATAAAATATTTGAGTGGGTAGGTTTGTAACCTATCGTGATTTTTTTTGTATACACACACACACACATATATATATATGTAATTATATTTATTATTTATTATATTGTCAACTGTTTAATAATAATAAAATGTCATGAATTTATGTTTATGTTAATATTTATCATTATGTCCTTGGCAAGCTCTAATTATCAACCACGTCTGAAAAGTCCTTATGAAAAAATATATCTTTATATACACGTACTACTGAAATTGTAAACTTCAGTAGATTCAGAGTCGAACCTCGAAACGTTTTCTACAAAGGTGATTCTAGCTGGAGTTTATACACGTGGAGTAGTAGAAGTAGTTCATCACTGCATGGTGTTCACCTGTTTCTTGTGTACGTTAAGATAATATTATTATCGAATTACTTAATTATTCATTAACAGCGAAGTTGTTTTGGAAAGTACTAGTAGTAACATTACCTGGACAGAAATCGATTGTCATCACCATTTGATGCCTCATTTTACTTATAGTAATATAAGAGTAACAAAACATCAAAGCGCGATACAATTAGAGAACTATAAAGAAACATTTTCTCTATGTATAACATATCTTGGAATGTGATACAGAGTTGCCATGATGTTACTGATAAGCTTCTGGCTTGCTAGGAACTAAATCTAAAGGTAAGGTTTCAACATGCATAATTCTGTACGTGTAGTTATTTTGTGTACATATTTTACATATTATACATATATGAACTGCACAAAGGAATTAATAACATATAAAATTGTTCTTGCTATGTGAAAATAACAACAATTAATGTATTATAGTTAAGTTTTTGAAAACCATTTTTGCTCAATTGTGATAAAAGCGTATATTTTAACTTTTTTCGAGTCTGCTTTCTGAACTGTAACATAGTATGATTTTAACCCACTAGGTCACCGTCTTCGTGTATAATCAAATATACGAAACTTTATTCTAATGGATATTATACATTATGCAATATACATTGTAATTTATGCTTGAAAATAAAATTTGTTTACCTTTCATCGGAAATATTATACAGTAAGTTTTAATCTAATTGTACAGTTAAATTTAGAATGGGTCGAAAAACAAGCACAAAGATGCCGTAGATCAATCAATCAATCAATCAATCAATCAATCAATGATTTCTATGCAAATCAGAATTTGAAATGAATAACTCCTTCGAGATCTTTATATAATTTTAAAACTCATGGTACACATCAAAACATCACAGTCATTTATTTATATTTTTATTTATTTATTTATTTTTATTTATTTTATCATACTAGTAAACAGTATCATACTAGTATCATACTAGTAAAAAGTTTAACAATTTAAAAAAAAACAAAACAACATAAATATTAATTATTCTAAATCTTTAAGAGACTATAAGAAGGTGTAAAACCTGATTATAACAAAAAAATATATGCTGTATATCATACTATACATACCCACGAATCTTCAACTTAATCTTGCCATGATGCATGATTTGAAGTTAAGAATGTCAAAAAAATTTAAAACTCTAAAATCTAGCGTTTTGTTCCATCAGTTTTATCTACATGTAGAAAAAAAACATTTATAAGTACTATGTATTAAAATAATGAACGTTTGAAATGCTGAACATTTTTACCATAATAGATTTGAACGAGTTAAGGAGGAACAGAGCTAAATAAATCTAGCATTGTCGGATAATAATAAGATACGAACTTCTATCCACATGATGTCTTAAAAACAATGAAATATTTATAAAATTATAATTTTAGTTACTATTCATTGTACAGCATTTTAAAATTTACCTTATAATTAAAGAACGTTCTTATAATTGTGTACAAGTAAGTCATTTTTACTATATGTACGTATGTTAAAGCAAGTTTTGGCAATATACTTTACATTTCAATACAATTGTATAAACTTGTCAATAGTGGTTAAATTGTGGGTCCTTTGAAAATCACTTGAACACTTGACTGACTAATAGAACAAGCCACTTCACGATGGAATTCACCCTCTATATACTTTATCATTTTCTACATTTATTTGAAAAAAAGCTGGTCTTTGCAGTCTTCCAATCGGTCGACATGGCTGCCCGTCATTCAGAAAAAATCTTATAATTCTGCGTATTTTTATTTGTTTTGTATTTTATATTTATCCAACATGTTTTGATGCAAATATATATTTTCTCACCCCTCAAGGTGCCAAGACAAAGATGATGAAATGAAGGCAACTTCAGAAAATAAGATGAAAAAATTTCTCCGTCTGACGGTGTATATAATGCTAGTATGGACAGTTTGTGTCGTGTTCTTTCTCGTCACAAGTTTTCCCGAAGTCTTCCAGGAACACCAGGGTAAACGTGGTATTCGTGCTTACACACAGTCTCTCTTGTTTCCTAGAACACAGCATCGTAATGTAACGTTGTCACTTGGTCAAAACCGCGACAAACAAAGTCTGATGTGGCTAAGAAATTTTCATCATAAAAAGGGAAATCTGACGGCTCATGAAGCAGAAAAACTTGATAGGGATAATACGCCCGTAGATTATATCGTTTCGGAAAGTGGAAATGTAAAGGTTTTGGTTATAAATAAAACAATTAAAACTGCTGAAAAGAAGATAAAGAGATTAGAAAATACAAACAACGAGAACTTACTTCAAACATTACGTTTAAGACGCGAAGACAATGAAAGACGCTACTATACACCTCGTAAAGTAAAGGTCAATCCAATTGACCATGCATTCATAATAAATGGTGCTCAAATCTGCACAACAGATGCAAAATATATGACAATACTTATCGTAGTACCGTCAATACCCAGCCATTATTTTGTTCGCGATGCTATACGTGAAACATACGGTTCTTACTCTAAAGCGCCGTTCCTTCTTGACCGTACTGCGATAGAAGTGGCTGTTAGATTAATGTTTATTATTGGCAAAGATGGGAATATAGCAACAGAAAAAGCCATAAAGAACGAGAGTAGAGTTCATGGAGACATCGTTCATGCCGATTTTATAGAATCTTATAGAAACTTGACAAGGAAAATGCTGCTAATGCTAAAATGGGTGTCTATTTATTGCAGTGATGTTGATTTTGTAATGAAAGTAGATGAAGATGTATTTGTAAACATTCCACAACTTGCGAAAGAACTTCACAGAAGACCTTATGGTGTTAAAGGTTCCGTATACGGTTATGTCAACGTACACTCGTCTGTACGCCGGAAAGGGAAGTGGGGTGTGTCTAAAGACGAGTTTCCGCTATCAAATTATCCAAACTATGCTTCTGGGAATTCGTATGTGATATCTGGGAATATTATCCCACGTATGTTCATGACATCTGAGTATTTACCCTATATGCCGATAGAGGACGCTTTTATAACAGGATGTCTTGCAAGAATAGTTGAAGCTAAAGTTGTGTCTGTACCCGGCTTCACTTACTGGCATGACGCTGAGCCAGATCCGTGTCAGTTTGTGAGAGACAAAAGAGTTTCCGTGACACATGTTACCACTACTATCATGGAAAAACTTTGGAAAACATGCAATTCATATAGAGAAATATGTTCGAAGTTCAATAGAACAAAACATGTGTGATATTTTTTGAAAACAAGAAATGTGTAGTTCAAATGATTTTATTTGTATTAGAGATCTTATAAGCATTCCAATTAAATTTGATAAACGTATTTATCACTAAGTTTTCATGTCAGCAATATAAATTGTAGCTGCTACAGTAGCAGGAACGATAAAATAATAATGGAATAACTTGGCTATGAAAATGAACTGTAAATGGTTATAATAGCCTATTTTGAGTAAAAACCGCAATAGATCTTACAATTAAGTTATCTTAATTTTAATGTATTCTTTTCCATGAAAGAAAAAAAGAGAAAAGCTGCGCTACGTCAATATCCAGCATATACATATATTTACAATAGAATAATATAGGGGGGTTACAGTAAACGTTCAGGATCATGCCCTTTATGTTTTGTCGGACACAATAGCTATTCCTGTCATTGTCATTCATAATCTGGAAATTAATAGGTTTTTTTTTTTCTGTTGATTGTTTTCTTCTAGACAATGATGTTCCTTTTTGTACTTGTAAACGCCGTCCTTTAACAAGGGAAGAAATCAAACCATGTAGAGTCTTCTGACTGTCGATTACTATGCCAGCATGCAGTTACACTTTATGCTAATCTCAAATTTTTTAATGCATCACGAGGGTTTTTTTTATTTTCCAAAAATATATAATGCACTGTATTTATTTTCAACATTTCGTCTCTCCCGAGTATAATTTGTCCAAGTAAAACATCATATATCTGAACAGCCATGATAACAATATAGATGCTCATTCCCTCCTACAAATGGTTGAAGAGTATCATGTTATAAATAATTAAGTAAACATTTTGCTGGAACTTGGGAAACATATCAAGTAGCTTGTTAAAGTGCGAACATAAGTATGTGTGAGGTGTAATTAGCTATAATTACACACAGCATTTATCTGTGATATTATTATATAACTGTGATAAAAGGGTTGGTTAACAAGCAATTATCATAGTATTGCAAGCAATCCATAAGTCCCCTACCGGTTAGAACCCCATCAACATTCTGAAGGGCCATTCACTAATGTTTCAATTTTTCTCTATTTTAAGTAAATTTGTTGGAAAAGTTCTTTAAAAGTGATCACAGGAAACAGTTTTTATGAACAGACAGACAGACGGACTGAAGGACACTCTAAAGTTAATATTTGAAACATCCCTGTTACCAAAATATAACATTTTAAAAGCAAAATTCTTAAACAGGAGATAACTCTTGAATTAAAGATGCAATTTCATAAAAATTTTCAGCTCTTTTTGACTAATCACAAATATTGTTATATTTGCCATGTTTTAAGCCTATTTGTTGCCAAGGCAACTGATATTTTTTCAAAATAGGAAGAACAGATAAGACATGCATAATCTCAAGACTGCCATCTACCCATATGTCAAGTTTCATAAAAATATTTCCAGTACTTTTTGAGTTATCACTGGATTCAGTTTATGTGTAAAATTTTCCATATTTTCAGTCTATGTGTTGCCATTGCAACCAGAATTTTCAACATAGGAAGAAAAGAAAAAGACGTGCATAATCTCAAGACTGCCATCTACCCATATGTCAAGTTTCATAAAAATACTTCCAGTACTTTTTGCTTTATCACTGGATCCAGTTTATTTGTAAAATTTGCCATATTTTCAGCCTATTTGTTGCCATAGCAACCAGAATTTTCAACATAGGAAGAAAAGAAAAAGACGTGCATAATCTCAAGACTGCCATCTACCCATATGTCAAGTTTCATAAAAATATTTCCAGTACTTTTTGCGTTATCACTGGATCCAGTTTATGTGTAAAATTTGCCATATTTTCAGCCTATTTGTTGCCATAGCAACCAGAATTTTCAACATAGGAAGAAAAGAAAAAGACGTGCATAATCTCCATACTGCCATCTATCCATATACCAAGTTTCATAAAAATATTTTCAGTACTTTTCAAGTTATCGCGGGATCCAGTTTTGTGGATGGACGGACTGACAGACAGACAGACGGACGGACAGACGGACGGAGGGTAAACCTAAAGTCCCCTCCGGTAAACCGGTAGGGGACTAAAAAAAGATAAAGTGGTAAATAATTTCATATAATGAGAGAGCATTAGTGGGGAACGCTGCCGAACATTACGCCTTGCGGAAGATGTAGACAGGATAAGTTAACATCCTCTTGTCTGTATTGTACTCCTTTACAGATACAGTCCAAATACTTATTAGGAACAACAAAAATATTAAGATATGTCTGAATGTCATCTCATGGAAGATTCAATCTCACTGATAATTATCAACCTACTGGTGTGGTAATACATTCTAGAATCTTACATATAATTTAACTATTGTGGTATCACTAAATGTACACCTGTTGATGATAATCAATTATTTATACCATATATGCTTTGTTACATACAGATTTATAATTATATCAGCTTTTTATGACCTTTGCTGTAAGCTGATAGAGTAGCCACATGTTCAAATTATGCTTTGTGTTGGTACGTAGTATACAGTAAAGCTCTATAACCATTACTGGAAATTTCTTCAAAACTGCTTAACATGTTGGGCTGCTACAAAATTACATTAGCATATTTTCATGTTACTGTAACTATTGGCAAGTATCTATTGGCAATACTTTGTTATATTATTTAACACTTGCTTCAGTGTTTTAATCAATACTGTTTAGGTATAGATAAAAGAAGGCGGCAATGCTGAGGAAGGCAATATCTATCTACCTACCTAAACTTACATGGGGATTATACTTCCAGACTTCTTTATTATTCTATTATTCCTTTGGGTATTTAAGTGTAAAAGGAATAAAATATTAACACTCCCCTTTGAATTTATACAAGAGGGCCATGATGGCCCAAAGTCGCTCACCTGTATATAGGCCCCTGGAGCGGGGCCAGTTTTAACCCCAGGGCTTTTATTTGAACAAACTTGGTTGTATATGTATGCATGTATATATATATATATGTATATATATATATGTATATATATATATATATATATATATATATATATATATATATATATATACATACATACATATATATATCATATATATATATACATAATATGTATATATATATGTATATATATGTATATACATTTATATATATATATATATATATATTTACATATATATATATTTATATATAAATATTAAATATATATGTGTATATATATAATATGTATATATCTAAAAAAAAAGTCAAGCTAATGAATGACTCCCGGGGCGGGGCCAATTTTGACCCCAGGGCTTTTATTTGAACAAACTTGGTAGACATCCATGAGAACATGTTTCATGCTAAATATCTTAGCTCTAGCTCTTTGAGTTCTTTAAAAGAAGATTTTTTAAGTTTTTACTATATGCACATAGGGAAAATCAATGACCCCCGGGGGCGGGGCCAATTTTGACCCTAGGGCTTTTATTTGAACAAACTTTGTAGACACTCATTAGAAGATGTTTCATGCTAAATATCTTAGCTCTAGCTCTTTGGGTTCTTTAAAAGAAGATTTTTTAAGTTTTAACTATATGCATATAGGGAAAATCAAAGACACCCTGGGGCGGGGCCAATTTTGACCCTAGGGCTTTTACTCGAACAAACTTGGCGGACACTCACCAGAAGATGTTTCATGCTTTATATCTAAACACTAGCTATCTGGGTTTTTTCAAAGAAGATTTTTAAGTTTTTGCTATACACAGTCATAAAAGGAAAATCAATGACCCCCGGGGCGGGGCCAATTTTGACCCTAGGGCTTTGATTTGAACAAACTTTGTAGACACTCACTAGAAGATGTTTCATGCTTAATAGCTAAACTCCAGCTATTTGGGTTTTTTTAAAGAAGATTTTTTAAGTTTTTGCTATACACATATAAGGAAAATCAATGACCCCCGGGGCGGAGCCAATTTTGACCCCAGGGCTTTTATTTGAACAAACTTGGTAGACACCTATTAGAACATGTTTCATGCTAAATATCTTAGCTCTAGCTCTTTGAGTTCTTTAAAAGAAGATTTTTTAAGTTTTTACTATATGCATATAGGGAAAATCAATGACCCCCTGGGGCGGGGCCAATTTTGACCCTAGGGCTTTGATTTGAACAAACTTGGTAGGCACTCATTAGAAGATGTTTCATGCCAAATATCTAAGCTCTAGCTCTTACAGTTTTTTAGAAGAAGATTTTTTAAGTTTTTCTTATTGGTTGCCATGGCAACCAGAGTTTTTAATGGAATTTAAATTTTTGAACAACTTTGAAAGGGGTCCACCTAAGGATCATTTCTGTAAAGTTTGGTTGCAATTGGCAATGTAGTTTAGGAGGAGATGTTGTTTGAAAAGTTTGACGCCATTTTTTGAAGGACGCACGACGCACGCAGAGTGATGACAAAAGCTCACCTTTGAGCACTTCGTGCTCAGGTGAGCTAAAAACAGAATTGCCCTTCTTTAAATTTGGAATAATCTATCAGAATTTGAGAAATGTAAGGGATTACAATATAACAATTCTAGTTCTGAGCAGCTAATTGTCTAGTGGCTGGTCAAACTCCACCAATGTTCAGGCCGGCCAGTCTGCAAATGATTTGCTTCCAGCATTGTATGGATAAACATTGTAACAATGTTTATCATATCTTTATATAAACTGATACTAGTCATACATACGAGTGTATAAGGACATTTGTTTCTGGATATAAAAAACAAACACTTAGATTGGCTTAACTTGTTATTTATCAACTAAAACAAAATACGTATAACTGATTATACAGATCCACAAACATAAAGGTATTGTTCAAGTATCAACCATTATATCTTACAGCTGATTCTGTAATAAAATATTCTTCATTACATTAAAGCAGCATGCCTCCAGATGAGTACAACAAATCTTCAAAAATATCTAACTCATGAAATGTATACTGATAGTTTATGAAGTGTATAAATGTTTACAACCAATGTGAAACAACGAAAGTATTACATTGTTGCAAAAACAATAGAATTTACTTTTTTAACATTAAAATTCTACTGCATTTCAAATGTAATCAAATAAATGTCTGCATATTAATTTAGTCAAGTTATTGTAATTACCGTGGATAGTGAGTGTCTTAGGCTTTGATAAACCACTTAATTTGTACACTTGACAACATTTTACCCTTTGCAACAATATTTAGATTTCATAAAAATTAACCCAAACATGAAAACATGCTGCTTTAACAGAATTTAGTAATTACACAGTAATTACATACACAACCTAAGAGAGCAAGAGAAACGTAAAAGGTCAAGATGTATACAAAGTTTCCAAAATATTGTTTCATACAATAAAAACTTTAACATATTATCTTTCTTATATGTCTAACATCATAAACAATAAATGTAGATATGACACTGGGTTATTTATGGTAGATACTTTTGGTCCCTTGTTCTAGCTGCATTTTTATGATTGACAAAGCAACAGTTCATATGGTATAAATTCCCTGCAAACTTCTTGTAATGAAGGGTAATATCCAAAACTCACAGACATATTTTGTTCTCCTTAAATAACATCTTCATATGCAAATCAATAAAATTACATCTTCATATGCAAATTAATAAACATTCCAAAGATTTCATATACTGTTTTAAAA